GAGTCTCACCAAAGGTCTTCCCCCTCTGGAATGTTTGCATGGGGTCTCCTGCCAGAATTGCAGGTTCTCAGGCCGAAAGAAAGTTCCTCTGGGAAACAGTGTTGAGAAAAACCAAGGAACACTGTAAAAGCACACAGGCCACGGCCATGAAATTTCCCTAGCTTCCTAGCAATTCGCCTCAAATGTGGCCTAGTTAAAGGACCTTTTCACAAAGCAGTGGCTTGGAAGGGTCAGTTGCAAGTTTCAAATTAACAGGCAGCCTGCTGCATTTCTGTTCTTAGCAGTTGGAGTTCAGACCTAAACATTTAGGAGACCCCAGTCCCTGGATCCTGCCTTGAAGACCAGATCACAAGACAATCTGCACCTTAACAATTATTTCTGGACCTCAGTGAGGGCACAGTAGAAGCAATACAAGTGAGACTCTGAAATCTCATATTATACACACAGTTGCAAAACCATCCACCACAACCAGAAAAGCCTCATTAAACTGCATGGTCTTTATTTCAGTGCCAATAGTACAGATACAACACAAACGTCCCAAGAGAACGAATTCAAATGGAATCCAGGACTGACAGACTCAGTAAATGAAGAGGGGGCTGAGAGGGGGGAAAGCAGCTTTGCAGTGACTGGAGTCTCGAGATGAGTTTCTCTGCAGGTGGAGGGTGCCCCCTCTCCATCTCTAAGCATCTCACCTAGCAACACACATTTCCTTTCTGTCCACCCCACCATGGCTAACAGCCAATGACCAGACAAAAGGAGTCCCAAAGGTTGGGATGGGGCATGTTGAAGAGCGACTTGCAGGAGCAGTCTGTCTTGTCCATCATGATGCTTGCTTAGAGAGGAGGCACTGGTCAGAGGGGGCCTGGTGCAGCTTTGCTGCCCAAATCCTCCAAGTGGAGCTTCAGTCCTGAACAGCAGATCCACAGATACCCATCCCCTTCTTCTCTGACTCAAGCCCCTGCCCTCAGGGTGCACAGTCAAGCATAGAAAGGGCCCCCAACATCGGGGAGCCCCAAGGAGAAAGGGTCACCAGCATCCTTGGAATAAGTTTCCGACATGAACTCTGGATGAAAGTGCCTGAAGATGGGAATCAAACCAAAACCTGCCTCACCAGGGAAGACAGCAAAGAGGGAGAAAATGCTCCTCCCTTCCTTGTTGCTGGAGGGAGGGGGGAGGAGAGAGCCTGGGGCGCACCTCCCTTGCTCCCCTTTCAAACAAAGGGGGCTGTGGCTTTTGTGGTCTGGTGGCTCTGCAGCCAGGAGAGAAGAGAAGAGAAAGTGTCTTAAAAGAGATGCTTCGAGGTGAGCAAGGCCAGTTCCCCCACTGTGCAGCTGCAGCGGCTCCTCTTGTCAGCTCTCAGGCCACAGTGCGGTTGGGGGATTCCTGGAGTCGCCGTACTTGAACCAGCGTCCTTCAGCCAACCAGGTGGGGTGAGGTGTGTGGATCCAGAGCTCACTGCCAGGACTGAGGCGGGAAGGTGTTGACCTCTGCCAGGTCCTGCATTGCTGAGCCCTTGTGATTATATGTCAACTTGATCCGCATGCGGAGCTGTTGCTACCGAGGGAACAAAATGAAGATGCGTGAAAAACGGCACCCCCATCCAACCCATGCAGGCCTCCCCCCCATCGTCTTCAGCAAGGGAGGTGCTCACAGTGCAGCACCATTCACCCAAGTGAGAGGGACAAGGGGCCTCCGGGGCAGCATGGCCCTGCCTGAGAGCTGCTAATGCCAGGCAGTCAGGCTGAGCTTCTGCCCAAGCCCTGCTGCTCTTTCGGTCTCCATGGACGTGGCACCAGCCACGCCAGGCTCCTCCTGGAGCAGCAGGTCAGTCGCTCGCTCACCTTCTGGGGATTCAGCACTTTGATAACTTGTGTGATGGTCCCCGTGTTGAATGCTGGGATGATGCTGCTGCTGGGAGAGAGGAGCTGCAGCTGGAATGTCTGAAGAAAGCCAAGCACAAAAAGAACGAAGCGCTTCCACCTGGCTCCTGCTGCAGCCACTGGCGCAAGGGACTCAAGTGTCAGTCCCCGTGCCACAAAAGCAGGGAGGGCACAGCTGGAAGCCAGGAAACAGCCAGGTGGTGGGAGCACGGGTAGACCATGCATCGTATGTGCTTCTGGCCATCAGATTTTCTGGGAGAAAGGCAAGCTTTAAAACTAAAGCATTCTCGACTGAGTGGAACTTCAGAGGGTGACAAGAAGCCACCCCGCCCTGCAACTCTTGACCCACCTTTGGTACCGCAGCCTGGAAAACAAAGTCTGTCATGTCCAGCTCGGTGCTATTGGAGGCCTGTATTGTGATCACGGTGACGCTGGGATTGCTACTGGAGCGCTCAAAGGCAAAGTCAATCTTCAGGCCATTCTTGTTGTAGGCCGTGATGGGAGGGATACCTGGGGAGAGGCAACACCGCTCAGAGCTCCGAGGCCACCTCCAGCGTTCTCCAAGTCCCACCTGAGGCACAGTGGGCAGGAAGACAACGGAGCCCTGCTCCAGGCTCTGGGCTGCTCTCCCCTCCGCTCCGCCTGCACTGCCTTGGGCTGGTGGGTGCTGCTTTTTCTTTTGTTACCTGTGCATTCTTAGTCTGCACCTTTGCTCACGGCTTTAGGATAGATCTTCAAAAAGTTTCTGTACTTTTATATTTGATAAATATGTTTTATATATTTTTTGCTGATGGCATTAAAAAGTTGATATAATGCTGGGAAAAATGCATCCCAAAGGAAGGTGACTATGTAGAAAAGTGATGTGATTTGTTTTTGAAATTCTTAATATGAGTTTAAAAAGTGCGGAAACTCATGTGTTTTTATTGCTGCCAGCCACTCTGAAAACCGTTTGTGGCAGACAGGCCAGGATATGCGTTTAATCAGAAATGAAGCTGCTTCACCCGCTGCCCCTTGTGCAGGAAGCAGCCTGCACTCGTACCTGCAGCAGCCATGTCATTGAAGATGGGCTGCGAAGAAAGTCCATCCAGAAGAAATGGGGGCTGGGATAGCTGCGGGGGAGGTGCCGGAGGACCTGAAGGAGCAACATGGGGAGAAAGGGAAGGATCCAGCTAGCATCCCGAAGGCCCGTGTGGACCACTGTATGCCTCCAGCGGGAGAGGGGGGGCTATTCCTTCCCAGTACTGCCTCCAAGTGCCTTGGGAGATGCAAGCAACCCTCACCTGTCGTTGGGTTGAGATCCCCCAGAAGGTCCAGCAGCTCTCCACCTGCAGAAGCTGGCTTGTTCGGAGGGGCCGTTGTAATTATGGGCGTGATGTCATTACTCCCCAGCAGATCCAGCAGGTCATTTGCCTGATAAGACACACAAAGGTGACTACTGACACACCTGCTCTACAGTGATCTAGCACACAGGAATAGCCAAGGAATCCATCTGGTCTTAGGGGCACTGGGGAAGTAGGTATGTGGGGGGGTGAAGGGGATCGAGTAGAGAAAGGTGCTTGCTCTTGAGGCTGGCTGTGAGCTGCAAACGTGCCTCTGATGCAGCAGCTCCAATGCCTCTCAAACTGCAGAGGGGAGGGAGGACTTGCTGCCTCGAGACGGTGCATGCAGCACCTTCCTGTACCTGGCTTGTGGGCTGCAGGCCAGGTGCAGGTGGCTTGCTCTCCAGGACTGCTGGCTCTGCCTCCCCATTGGGCTGTGTGACATCGGTGGGGCCGTTGGTGGTCAGTTTCTCCATAACTGGCATTCTCTCAAGTAAGGCCGACCTGCAAGAAGACAGGGCAGTTACCCCATGGGCAAGCGGGAGCCAGCTCTTGCTGGCAGGGGGAAGTCGGCACGTCCCCATTCAGCCGCTCTCACCGGAATCCACACCTGTCCAAGGCCTGCTTCTTTGTTACGCAAGCTGGTCCTGCCACAAGCATCCTGTGGCACAGTGAGGTGAAGCCAGCCATGAGGCGCTGGTCCTTCTTACCAAGAGGCAAGAGGTGAGACCCGGAAAGGCCACTGGCATGCTCAAAGGCCTCTGGGCGCACCTACGCAGCAGCAGCAGCAGCACCCGCTGGCCCCCAAGGGCAGGGGCTTGACAAGAGGAGCGGCGCATCAAGGCGCCCAGATGCGAGAGAGCCAGGGTGTCAGGCATGACTCACCGCTGTCCTCAGCCCCTGGCGGCCTGGGCCCCCCAGCAGCCCTGAGTGCGGGGCAGAGCCACTTCCTAGCCTACCAGCACATCATGTCTGAGTTGGAGGCAGTGCATCCCCACTCAGGCCAGGCCCCTGGAACATGAACGGCCCGGGGGCCACGATCTCACCCTCCACAGCCACCCCAATAAGGAGCGCGGGCACCCACCTCATATGATCGTACTTCTTGAACAAGGCATTGTACTCCACTGCCCTCTGCTGGAGCTCCACATCAATGCTGCTGCCGTATATGGACACCACCTTCTTGATGCGACTAGTGATGAGAGAAGAGACTGACAAGCAGCAGAAGACGACTGCCACTCAGGAGGAAGCCCAAGTCAGCCCGGCCCTGGCAGCAGGTGTGCCCTCGCCCACCCTCTCCAGGTCATCAGGCAGCCAGCAGCAAATGCCGGCCTCCACAGCGCAGCAGGGCAGCATGGCTCTGTGAGCCAGAGACACCGGGCAGCCACGGCGGCCCAGGCCGGGAGGAGCTCCACCACGAGGAAGTGGCAGGTGGCACAGCCACGTGGTCACTCCTGGAGGATACCCATGTGCACATGTCTCTATACCTTGTGCCTGAAGCTGAACTGTTTTGCTAGCATGCCTGAGAGTGTATTTTCAAGGTTTCTGATTTCTGAGAATGCTTTGGCTATAGTACAAAGCAGAGTGCTTTGGCTATTGTATGGTATGAAATGAACACAAGCAGGAGGGGACTATAATCAAGCCCCTGCCCCATGGCTGGATTGCCCATAAGGGGAGTGGATGGCCCCTGTGATAAGAGGCTGTTGAATAAAAGAAACCCCTTGGGACAAGCCCTCTTCAATGGCGTCTCTCTCGGGAGAGCCAGGAGCACCGTGTGTGCAAGACAACACAGGACTTGGGACGCAGGTAAGAGGGCGCCTCATCACCTTGTCCCTGAAATGCCCAGCACCCAGCTGCTCTTGAGGACACAGAAAGCGAGGCTTGAGAAGCAGCCCCTCCCACGCAGAGTGCCTCCCGCTGCCGCCCAGAAGGGACTCACTTGACTGTGCAAGTGAACCGCGTGGACAGCTTCATGATGGCCGTGAGGGCATAGCCTCGTGTGGCAGACACCGACATATTGGAGACAAGGACGCTTTCCAAAACTTCAAGGACTTCATCTTCCGTGACCTGAGCAAGCCAAGCAACAGAAGGCTGAGAGAGGGGTGGGTGCAGAGCGCACCAGCTGAAATCTGCACGGCCTGCGAGTGAGCCGCAAACTCCCTCCCATCCTTCAGCAGCTCTACCTGGATGGGCTCTTCCTCCTCGCACTGGCCAGACACCAGCAGGTCTCCATACTCCCCTATACACCAGGATGCCACCTGCACAAGGGGCTGCTGGCCAAGAGAAGAGAGAGAGCACCTCAGCAACTCCGTTCACGTGAGCCCACCTCTCACTTGGTGGCTTCACTCCCCAGCACTTACTTGGGAATAGTCACCCAGGATGGCTTTGTAGAGCTTCTGCACCGTATAGGCATGCATCTCCACACTGTTGGTGATGAGCTGGATGAGGTTGGGTACAGCATCGTCACGAACATACCCCCCTGCCTGGAAGAAGGAGGAGGCCACACACATGCAAAGAGGTTTAGCAGTCATCCAAGAAAGCCAGGGAAGGCTACTCCAAGCCAGAGACCTGGTGGGGAAGGCAACAGAGGTTGCTCTGGCCATGCTGCTTGCTTTGATACACTGTTTATGCAATTATTCTCCCACCACAACTTTAGTGGCCAGAGTTCAGCAGCCACGTGACCCGGGGAAAGTGCCCTGCAACCTTTAGAAAGCCGTGCGAGAGGAGCTGGCTCTGACCTCCCTAACAAGGGAATTCCAGAAGCCCGAGGATGTGCAGCAGAGGGTTTTGCCCCAAGATGAGCAGAGCCAGAGCTTACACCCTAATCAAATGGCCTGACCCTACCCTGGTGCACACCCCTAACCCTAATAGAGGGGTGAAGTTGCACTGAAAATAGGATGATTTTGAAAAAGCCTTCCTTGAGTAGCTTCTTCTGCACAGCTCAACATTTCTGCCCATTCTAAACACACTCCAACCATCAAACCCATGCCAGGACACCTCATTTTTCCAACCCTAATCCAGTGATGGTGAACCTTTTAGAGACCAAGTGCCCAAACTGCAATCCAAACCCCACTTATTTATTGCAAAGTGCCAACACTACAATAAAACCTGAAAACTGCGGTTTTAGTTTAGAAAAAACACTTCACAACCAGTCCAAGAAATCCTTGGCAGCGCACTGACTGACCATGCGAAAACTCGGACAAGCCACAGCTAATGAGTCGTGGCTCGTGACGTCATAACCTGGGGGCTCTACTCCTTTCCGAGCATGCGCACGGTCCCCATGTGCACTGTTATCCGATGCTCGGCTGCTGGGGCGACTTGGCTGGCATGCCGACAGAGAGGGTTCTGCGTGCCCGCTGTGGTTCGCCACCACTGGTCTACAGAGTTAGAACAGCACAAGATCTCTACCTACCTAACAGGAGCCCACAGGAAGGTCTGGCGCTCGACTGGGAGCCCTGCTCACAGGACAGGCCCGCTGGGGAACGGAGGCCACGATCGCAGCAGCACTTACCGTGGTCAGGACTCGCATGATGGTGTCTATGTGCCAGCGCTTTGAAGGAGCATATCTGGAAAAAGAGCAGGCAGGCCTGTGAGGCAAGCGGCAAGATGCTCACCAGCCCCAGGAACCCTCATCTCTTTCCCCAGCAGACCTGCTGCTCAGCTGGCTGCCTTTGCAGTGCAGGGCAGAGATGCATTCCCAAGTGCAACCTATACCGCTCCCTCCCTTGATTGTATGAGAGGGAGAAGGAAGCCACATCGCTGGCCACTGCCACTGCTTGGCTCACGACCTGGTGCTATTTGGGTAGATCACCAATGGGACATCTCACCTCCGCTCCCACTCCAGTGGAGAGAGCACTGCCTGGGGAGTCCAACGACCAGTGCAGCTTGCTTAAACAGCAGGAGGCAACAGCACCTCTGCGTGGGGAGGGGTGAGGGCGGGCAGCAGGGCGAGGGCTCGAGAGACTGCCTGCCCCTTCACTGAGTGCAGAGTCCCAGCAGCCCCTGCTGCCTTTGCCCAAGGCAAAGGCATCTGTGGAAAGAAACGCCCTGCTGTTCTCGCAGGGGATCCCTCCTCACGTACCCAAGGAGCTCCTCAGGGATCCTGAGCAACAGTGACTGTGAAGCAGCAAGTAAAGTGCTCCAGGACAGGATCTGTGTGCAGATGCCCTGGCACTGAGTGGAGCTCAGGCAGCAGCTGCCACTGCACATGCAGCTGCTGGCAAGCCTCACAGTGGCCATGCTGGAGGCCCACGGGGTCATCGGCTTGCAGCTCCTGCTCTGCCGTCAGTGCTGAGCTGATGCCTCAAGGTGTTGCAATGGGGGTGCAACGGAGAGACTCAGAGGATGAAGACAAAACAAATGCTGTTGGTATCTCACTTTTCTGCTGCAAGAAATATTCCTGAAGCACAGTCTGCCTTGAACTCAGGTTCACAGGAATCCAAAAAATAAAGCAATTCCTTCATCATTCCTCGGATGTTGTTTCCATTCACGAGGGCAAAGCTGAGCTCCATTGCTCTTCTGCGAACAGGGGAGAGGACAGGACCCACAAGTCAGGACACCTCCCTGGCCTGGGCTCAGCACCAGGTGCTGACACGCTTACAGCACTCATCAATGCAACAGCCCCAGCAAGGCAGGGAGCCAGCAGTCTGGGAGACTTCCACTCCAGAGCTAGATGGGGGCCACGGGCGTGCTCTTGTCAGCTGCTTGAGTGTCACCACAGCGCCTGGCGCTCTGCCGATGGATCACTCTTAGGCTTCATCCTACAACAGCACCAGCCAAGGTGGCTCTGTCTGAGCCCCACGTGCTCCCCAGCAAAGCATCTGCTTACAGTCGAGCATCTCAACATTCATCCTAGAAAGCAGCAGCCAAGGATGAGGACAGTGACTCATCCAGCAACCCACCCCTTGTTGAGTGGCCAAAGCTAATGTAATGCTACAACGAATGAGGAACAGTCACCCAAGTGGGGCGCCTCGTACACTTGCACGGAGGTGGCACCATGCACCTATCTTGCTGTCATGGATGCCTCAGGCAGCAACTACAACCCCCTGTGGGATTTGAAGGAGCCTCCTTCCTGCAGGCTCCAGCCTGCTTTCCCCTCCCAACTTCTCTTGCTCTTGCATTCCTCTGCAGTCTTTCAAGATATATAGCAAATCACACTTTACATTGTATAACAGACAGAGTTCAATATTCAAAATTTGAAAGGTTTGTACAATGAGGAAATGTGTGTTATTTACTAAGAGGCAGAAGCCTATTTTCTGCTCCGGGGAAAAGGGGCAAGCAGATCTGCTGCGGAAGACGTTTGTGCAGCAAAGGGCCACGTTTGGTCACAAGGCCCGTGGAGAACTTCTTAGAGAAAACGAAGCTTCAGATGCAGTTTCTAGAGGACACATCAGTGTGTGTGAGAGAACACACAAATCCTAGACAGCCTGCGCTGCCTCCTAAGCACACAGCCTGGCAGGTCATGCCGCCCCCTCGCCTCCCCTCCTGACCAGCCTCACTCACCGTTTGATGGAGACATCCAGATCCTTCAGGCAATCCACAATGGTGCTCCTGTGCCGCTGCACAGCATTGTGGTCAGTCTGCACCGTCTTCAACAAGGATGTCAAGGCCACATACCTGAGAAAAGGGACCCTCTGTGTTAGTCTCAGTCAGTGCTCTGCCCTGGAAGGCATCCTGGAAGGCTTTTGCAGATAGCATGGCTGGGCGGCCAAAAGACATAAAGGAAGAAGGCTGTGCCACTTCCCCGGGTAGCTGAAGGAAGCCTAGCCAGAGGGCCTGGGGGGCAAGGGGGGCCCCACAGGCTGCACTCAGCCACGGCAGCCGGACCTGCTGCAGCAAAGCAGGAAAGCCAGCTCCCCAGCTGCATGTCCAAAATGGCCAGTGCTCCCCAGGGAAGCGTGGAGAGGGTTTAGCCTGCTCAGATCACAAAAGAGTTTCTACCCTGAGCAAGGTCTTCGACTTACCTGATATTTTTGTCATTATTAAGCAAGAACCGGCCTAGGATGTTAATGGCCAACACCTGCACAGTGAAAGACACAGACAGGGTCAGCCCAGCCACTGGCCACAGCAACCTTCAAAGCACCTGACAGCCCTGGCCAGAACGCCTTTGACCAGGGAATGCGTAACCGCAAGGACACTGGCAAGGGCTTCTTTGGAAGGGGAGGAGGACTTGAGGGCCACGGGTGGCATGCCACAACCTGTGGTTTCCTCTGCTTAGCTCCAAGAGTTCTGTGAGAGGAAGCGTGGCTAGTACACAACAAATGCCGAGCGGGCAGAAGGCCGCCTGGGTCAGGGTCCTCTCTCAGGGTCCCGCAAGCCAAGGGGACTGACGTACTCGCAGGCCACTCTCAGATTTGATGTCCATGATCGTCAAGACAGTTTCATAGAGAATGGCATTCCCCACGTTTTTACTTGTTTCAGTATTTGTAGCCACCTGGAACAGAGAGAGGGAACCAGCTAGCCTTACTTTGCAGCTTCATCTCCGCACAGCCCAAGACACCAAGCAGCCTGAGCGGACTGTGCGGCATGGCCCCCCACGCTCTCTCCTCACCTGGGCAAGGATGTCATTCATTGCCTCACTTGAGTCATCATCATTTCGGCCCAGAATTCTCAGTAGCCTCAGGATTCGCACCTGAAAAGGATCAGATTCACCTCTATTGCCAGCTGCAGGGAACAGAAGAGCCTAGGGAACCTTCCTCTCTCTCCTCATTGGAGCAACTGGCTGTGAAGGTTATACCCGGCCCCAAAGGCCTTACCTGCAGAAAGGGGTCACTGATCCCAGAAACGTCATGCTCTGGAGAATAGCCAGACATGATGAGGTTCTTCAGGATACGGACTAGTTGGGGGACAAGCTGCAAAGAACAAAGAGCTATCAAATTTCTGGTTTACAGTCTTGCCATGTTCTGTGTGGCTGCGGAAGGGCTCCAAGAGGACATCTTTAACAAAGAAAAGGCCTTTGCCAGTTTTCTCCTCACTCTCCAGTGATGGGGCTCTTGTAGTGCAGCAGCAGCAGCAGGAGAAGGAACAGCAGGCAGCAGCTGCCCAGACTCAGCACAGTGCAAAGAGGCAGTTGGCCTGACCCTGTCATGCTGCCAGGCAGAGATGGGCAGCTTGGCCAGCAGTGGATGGGCAAAATCTAACAGCTGATAAACGGGTTTGGCTTGGCTTCCATCAGCTGGAGATGCTGCCTTTACACAGGAAGCTTGGCAAGATCTTCTGGGATGCCAAAGTGAGGTGGATAGAACACCGGCCAAAGGTCTTCCCCACTGTAATGCACTGAAGAGGTGTGTACACAGCCTGACACACCATGGCCAGAACCTTGCTCTCTCTGAGTGTAAACTGCCGCTGTGGACCGGCAGAAGGGAGTGCTTCTCAGGGGCCAAACAGTCAAGCCTGGTGTAGCAGCCCAAGTCAATCCAGGGCCAAGAAGACTCAAGCAAGTTAATCTTGGGCTACAATTTCTTTCCAGCCGTACTGAAGACAAGTTTTAAAAGGGTTGCAAAGTACCAGGCGTACTGCCATGGGCAATACGAGAGAGAGAAAGAATGACTTATATAGAAAATCAGTAAGCAACTGAACTTCTTTAAATCGGTTGACAAGTTTTACTCAGAGCTGCCAGCACAGGTTGAGCTGCTACGAAGACTATATTCCAAATGCCTCAATGTCTGGGGCAGGATGGGGATATTCCTCTTAAAACGAAAGATGCTGGCCAGATGTGCTAAATCCAGGTAGTTTTTTCAAGGATTTCCTGCAGGCCCAGACTAAAAGGCCCCAATAGCTCATCTCCAGAAGAGGTTCTCTTGGGAGTCTGCGCTGGTGCACTATCTGTGAGGCAGCCTGCTCCCCCGTGCTCTGGCTCTTACCTTGCACAGGCTGCTGCCAGCGAGGATGGAACGCTCCAAAGGAGTCCACATCTGCCCCGTTCTGCCTCTCAGCACAGCTGGCACTTGCCCACCGCTTTCCCTTTGCCACGTTCTCTGCTAACTGCTCTCCCCTCCCACCAGCGGAAGACTGATGGGATCCAAACAATGAGCAGCATCCACCACGAGCCAGCAGATGCAAAAGCCCCCAGACACACCCCTCGGAGGTCTGTCCTGAATGTGGGAGGAGACCCTGGGGCCCCTTGCTTGAGCAAAGCTGCTGCTGCGATCCATGGCTGCTTTCAGCACTAATAAGCGCAATGGCAAGCATGCTAGGTGAGCTGCTGTGTTAGTGTGTAAGGAATCAACTCTACAGGCCCAAGGCAAGCATGCACTGGGGGAGAGATGAGGGAGCGCAGCTTACCTTTTCATTCTAACCCACCACAGCAGGATTCCAAACAGGCAAAGGGGACAAAAGAGATGAAGCAGGCATTAAGGAGAGGGGCAACAGCTCGCTGCATCAACCACCATCACCGCATGACTCAGGGCAGAAGGGCTACCAGGACAACCGCTGAGGCACAACTGCCCCGAATCTCCCCAGGCAGGACTTCCCTGGCCTTGCTCCTCCCCAGGCTGGGCCGCCGCTCTGTGCTGGCAATGCCAGTGTGGAGAGGCAGGTCAAGGAGGCCCGCCAAGGTGCAGCAGCAGCTCCTGCCTTAGCTCAGCTCTTCTCCCCACCCACCAATCACAGAGGAGTGTCAGGCGTAAGACAGCAGAAGCAGAAGGTGCTCAGCAAGAGCTCCTCACAGGCAGCAGGAAGCGCTGGCCAGCCTGTGTGCACAGGAGGGGAAGAGCAGGAGGGGATCCACGCCTGGGACCATGTGCACGGACTTCCCAGCCACAAGACCTCCAGCCCGAGAGGGCCAGGCAGGCACATCCTCCCCTGCTCCTCGGTGCCAGCGCTGGCAAGCACGGCCCTACATCCAAGGGGGAGGCCAAGCCCGCAGGGAGGACACACGCTGCTGTGAGGTGGCAGCTGGGCAAGGGCTTACCTTTCGGAAGTGAGCGAGCATGTCTGGGCTTCTCTCACACATTTCCGTGAGGAGGACAACGGAGGTGTGCAGAACACCTAACAGAGAAAGAAGACAGGAGCCCCTCCTGACACGACTGTTCCAGAACAAGGCTCCACAGGTGTAAGAGGGCTCCAGGCCTGCATCCTGCCACTGTCACTCTCAAAATCATCCTCTTCACACAGGCCAAAGGGGACTTCAAGCCTAGGTCAAAGAGTCTGGGCATTTTTACCCTCTGCACCCCAGGCTACAGTTAAAAGGAAAAGCCAGCAGAAAGGTGAGAAGGGTCGTGAGTCCCAAAAGACACAAGTTTTTTCTGTCCACCAACTCTGAGCCAGGGTTGGCCTTCAGAACCCAAAACAAAGCTCAGGGCCAAGCTGAGCCTCAGTGAGACAATACTGGGCTGGAAGGACAATGGGGCGGCCTGGTATGCTGCAGGGACTGCCCTGCAGGGCCACTCCTGAACAGACCCAGCATGGCTCCTGCCCGAGCCACAGCCACTTGCGGGAGCCCGCTCTGGGCTCGTGGAGCAGTGCACTAAGTGAGGCTGGCCGCTCGTGCTCTGGCGAGGAACCGTCAGCTCAGAGTGTCACTGGCCTGGGGCTTAGAGCACCGCAGGCCAGGCACTCGGCATGCCAAACTCCCCGGGTTGCCTCACAACATCCAGTCAGTCAGTGTCCCATCTGACTGGTAGACCATACACTGCTCTCCATCCCCTTGGGGAAAAAATGGTGGCAGAAGCCCACCCTCGACACTGTGACATTACCATGATTCTTCTCATTCAGCAGGTTTTTTGTGGCTGGCAAGAACATTTCCATGAGCTCAGGCACCTTCCTGATGACGTGAACAGCACACAGGGCTGCCTGCAGAAGACCAGGGAGGGGGGAGGAAGGTCAGCACACTTCAAGCATTTCCACAGAAGCAGCCCCAAGGGCTGTGTGTGTTATTGGCACTTTATTCTAGCCCTTGGAACTCTAAAGGAGGACACATGGACCGAAGCATAAGAGGAATAACTCAGTGCAAGGAGTCAATCAGAAGCCCCACACAACGATCTGCAGACACAGCCCCATTTAAGAGGAAGCTGGCCAAGATCTCCCTGAAAGAGAAAGGAAGGACCCATGCGCGGGTGAGCCCAAAGGACACCAGCCCACAGACGAATACCTTTTTCCTCAAGTAGGAGTTGGAAGTCTTCAGGAGCTTCTCCACCTCCCCTGCTAGGTCGCGGCACATCTCAGAGGAGCCCATGCAACCTAAGGTGCAGAGAGCCAGGCCCTGCACATACTGCGTGCTGTGGTTAAGGTCACTGGAAGAGAAGGAGCGAGAGAAAGCAGCTGTGCAAGGCGGGCCCAGGAATGAGGCACCCCCTGGTGCAGAGAGGGTGGCGCCTGGAAATACCCCTGAGCAAGCAGGGGGCTGAATGGCCCTCAAAGCAGCAGCAGCCGTCTAGGGATTTCTAAGCCCACCACCTACCAATGGCAAACACGTGACCGTGTGCACCCCTAGGAGGCCTAACTTGCCTTCCCTGGTGTGCCTTGAAAAGTCAGTGGCAGCAGAGGGATTCAGAACGTCTTGAGGCCATTTTCCAGGCCCACTTGCCCAGAAAGCCCTCATCCACAGCCAACGGCAACTTGGCCCCAATCAGAAGCACCCCAAAAGATGCCTTTCAGAGCTCTACAGAGCCGGGTCCAAGGCAGCGCATGGTACCTACTCCCACCACAAAGAGCCTGACTCTGCAAATCAAGTAGACTGTCAGTCTGCCAGCCTAGTCCAGGATAGTCACCCACAGTACCTGGGCTTCTCCTACAGACAGTGGGTACACAAGCCTTCTATACTCTGCCGCCCTTCTCAGAGGAGGAGCGTGGCCAAGGTGAACCTCACCGCTCAGCAACCCGCAGCAAGAGACCTGCCTTTGCAAGAAAGCTGCTAATTGCCACCCTCAGCGACAGTCCCAGAAAAAAAGAGGCCTTGCTTACTTCTTGATGCAGTTGGTCATAAGAAGGTGGACATCCTGCCTCTCATCTAGTAGAAGCATGGCTCCAAGGTACCCAATGCGCTTGTCTGTGAACTTCTGAGAGGCAATGAGTTTGAGGCACTCCAACTGCAACAAAGAACAGAGCTGTCAGTAGAACCGAGCAGCTCCGAAGACGGTCAGCCCAGCCGCCCCATTCCTTGATGCACACAGAGGCATCCAGTCCCTCAGGCACCTCACCTGCCCCGATGGCAAGGCAAGGGGTGTGGAGCCGGGAGCCACCGCTTTCAGGTGCTCCAGATGCCTCGAAGCAGCAGTTTCCAAGAGGGCTTGTTCTACACGCAGGAAAGCAACGGGGTGCACCTTGAAGCAGCACCGCTCCCCAAGAAGCTGGCTCCATGAGCTTTCCCAAGAATGCCTGGGGAAGCGGTTGGTGTTCACTGTGCCAGCCAAGAGGATATGCCATTATGTCCATAGCCTGCCTGATCCTGCAACCCTGGGCCAACTCTAATGTTGGAACTTTCTACCATCACATGGCAGGAGAAAAAGGTGAAGCAGCAGCAGCAGCACCACCACCACCACCTCAAGCCTGCAGGCAGGAAAGTCTGCTCAACATTCCCAGGCTGTTCAAGAGCTGCTTGCATACCATCTACACAGAGCTCAGTGCAGTAATTTGAGTCAGCTAAAGCTTTCCATCAACCTAATTAAGAGGCAGAGGAGAAACCCTGATGCCAACTTATTCATTTCATCTCAAAGGAAAGCAGAAACCATGGAAGAGAAGTGACCCACGCAAGCCTGCTCGTCACAGGCTTTTTGGATGTGGTGGCCAAAGCTCTGGATTGCTGTTCCACCACTTCTGAAGTGACAGGATCAGAAACCAAGTGTGGGAGCAACAGGACTGCCTCCTTCCATTTTTCCCTTGCAGACCCCCCCACCCACACACACACACACTTCTTGCTTCATGATCCCAAAGAGTTGAACTTTCCCCCATGCAAGAGTCCAGCACTTTCTGGCCAGCCCAGAAGCACCTCTAACGTGGCTCGAGGACACCCGAGTCGCTTTCAACAGCCAGCAGTTCAGAAGGATCTAGACCCCTCGGTGACTGAGCAGCAGCAGATGCAGCACACTCAGCATCCAAGGCTGGCAGCCCTGTCTGGACTACAGGCTGCCCCGAGGGCTCTCCCTGAGCTACAGGCACAAAACTAGGAGGCCCACCTGTCCAAAATGTGCAGGGTAGCCCAGCATGTGCATGTATAACAACTTGGCCACGTTCCGGCAACGATAGGTGTTGTCCTCTTCTCTGAAAGATGATCTGATAGCAGCACATTCTTTCTGGATCATTTCCCTTTCTTCTGCCTGGGTCCGTGCTGTCCGGATGGTCCGAATCAGCTCCCGCAGTCTGATGGGGGCAGGCATCCTCTAAGAAAAAGAGCACAGGGAGGAAAATTAAGGTGGGGGAAATCACCCTTTCGGTCCAGAGCCCCTGCAAACCTGTGCAGCTCAGCTGGCAGGGCCTCCTAGCTGGCCTGGGCTACATGGTCAGGACATCCTGCGGTGAATCCGGGGCCGTCTCAAATCACCAATCTCAGTTCACAGAGAGGGCACTGAGAGAGCAAGTAGTCTCTGAAACATGTAAATCATCCTGCAGAAGGTCAAACAACTGAAGGCAGAGGAAGACTGGAACCTCCCCTTATTTGTGAATAATTGGTTGGGGTGGAGTTTAGGGAAATCTGGTTTGAAGGAAAAGTCACTAACAGGGCATTTAGCTGGGAAAGAGGCTTTCTTACCAGTTAGGCACAGGTGGGACAACCCATACATTATCCAACTGCATGTGGTGGCAGTGGTGAGAAAACCTATGATGTTTGTATACATGGGTTTCAGAACTACATTCCTTGACTGCTGCAGCATTTAATCAGAACTCTAGAAATACAGGAATCTATACAATAGACCCTAAACTGTCAAAATGCCTATTTTCTGTTGTGTAGTCACATGCCCATAAACTGAACATGTCTTGGAAAATCTCTAGATATCTGTCAGTAAAAAATAGATTAGATCAAAGGGCTTTCAATTCTGGCTTGTCTTTCTGCCAACAACTCAGAATTTTTAGTTCAGATGCCATGTTGATCAACCTTGGCATGAGGCAGTACTGGGTGATTTAGCACAATGGGAGACAGCATAACTTGCTTCTGCTCACTCACAAAACCCAGGATTTTTTTTTTAAAAGTGTGTTGTGGCGGTGTGCAAACTGGGCTCTTAACATTTTCACCATAATTCTAAAGTATTTCATAAAGTAAAACTGTTCTCTTTCTTTCTGTCCGTCTGTCCTTCCTTCCTTCTTTTTTATCTTTCTTTTTTTGGGGGGGCGGGGGGAGTGCTGTTCTTGGAAAAACATCTCTCCCATCATTACAGCACAGCATGATGGGGAAATCTCCAGGAGGTCAGGGCATCCCCACAGCCTTTCCCTTTCCTAGGAAGACTCTGTGCTTGCTACTTTCACTAAAATCATAATGTGGGTGGTGGGGTGCAGACATCAGAAGATGGCTAAGCCCACTATTCAAAAGCTGCACAAACTCTTACTACTCCTTCCCAGACGTGGCCCGGGCCAAGATTTCAACAAAGCTGATTCTAGGTGGACTTGCAGTCCTTGCAATTAGCCAATTCCACCTAAAAGAGCATCAGAACAGCTGCAGAGATTCTTCCCAACACAAGGATCCCCAGAGAAGATGGACCTCTGGAAAAATGGCAGGCTTAGACTCTAGACCCTGGGGTTACAAGGATGCTGCGTCTAGCTAAGTGTAGGGTGGAGTTACCCAGAAAAGGCTGGGTGTTTTTAACCTCCCTGAAAAAAAAACCTAGTTAGCACCAGGTAAAACCTACTTGAAACATGCTTTATCAAGGGAAGCCACATTACCCTGATTTTAAAATCTGTTTTAGTCACGCATCCAGATTGTGACTGCCTGAAACAAAAGATTCAGAGATTCTGCTTCTTAGAGTTGTGCTACAGAAGCCAACAGAAATATTAATCTATGTTCTTCAGTAGCAAACACCTGAAATCTGTAGGCCTGCCTACATTTTGGTTTGGTGAATTCCAAGCAACTACTCAATGGGTGATGTTAGGAAAGAGACCGTCCATTACGAATGCTGCCTCTCACTACTTGTGAAACCCACCAGTCTTCACCTGAAAACCATCTGTTTTCCAATTTATAAGGGACTCTCAGAACAGTTACAGCGCCCCCATTAGGGATGACTCAAAGAGACCCATCTTGAAAGGTGGAGCCTCAGAAGCTGTTTCATTTATATGACAGAATTCCTTTGAAAACCAAAGTGTTAATTATATTAGAACATGCATTAGTCTTCAGTTTGAGATTTACCCAAACAATCACTACATGGATATTTTCTCTGCCATGTCTCAATGGGAGAGGAATAAGGTTGCAACCAGCCACTCATTTTTGCAGTTCATAGAAAATCTATTCCAATGAAGTTATAGCAGTTAAGAGAGATGGCAAATGTCTTTTCAGTTGCTCAAGAATTATACTGAGAGCTGGAGGTGTGGTGACCAGTACAGCAGGATCCTGCCCCATTCCTTCAGGCTCAGCCTCATGTGACAGGTACCAAAAAGGAGCGTTAAATCAAAGCTGTCTGAGACCCACAATGAGGTTCCCAGCAGTCTGCACTGCTCGCATGAGGTTTTCATCCTGAAACTCCGCTAGATGAAGGAGTCTGCCCACACTTGGGGAGGAGGTGGTCAAATTGCTTCCAAGAGCCAGGATGAGGTGCTTCCTGCTTGCATGGCCGGATGACTTAGTTTCAGGCAGAACAGATTCTGTTCTCCATCTCAGAACTATTCTGGTGGGCAATTCTGTGTCCTCTAGAAGTTGCTGTTCAAAAAAATTGCATAGGTACTAGAAAGCTTCAGAACTTTTCTCTCCACTGACTGAAGTCCACTATTATACAGGCCATAGTAAACAATCTGTGGCACTACATGCTGTAGCACTGACTGGTCCCACAAAGCACCTATGTATGAGCAGGGTATCAGCCTTGTGTGTGCATATACACTTTTCAAGCACTCACTGTTACTAATCAGACCATTCCCTTGCTGTCAATATTCACATGTACACAGAGAAGCATAGAATAGTAGAGTTGGAAGGGGCCATGAAGGCCATCAGGTCCAGACTCCTGCTGTTGCAAGACACCCGTCTGCACCATCTCACTTAGACGGCTGTCCAGTTTCACCTTGAATGTCTCTAGTGTAGGAGAGTCCACATATTTCTCTAGGCCAGGGGGCTCAAACTCATGGTCCGCGGGCCAATTGCCGGGACGGGCGGGGCATGGGGGAGCGGCCCTGAGGCCTTCAAAGCGCTGGTGGCGCCTGAGCCGGTGGCGGGATGAGTGGCCCACCACCACCACGGTGGTGGAATACTTGATGCGGCCCAGCCTCACCCAGACTCTACTTCCAGCGGCCCCCAGGTAAGTTGAGTTTGAGACTCCTGCTCTAGGCAACTGATACCACAGTTGTATTGCTCTGACAGTGAGGAAACTTTTTCGGATATCTAGCCTGAATCTGGGTTGTCATAACTTGAACTGATTAGTCCATGTCTTACCAGTGGGAAGAGATCTTGAACTTCCTCTTTGTGACAGCATTTGCAGTACTTCTAGAGGGATATCATGTCCCTCCCACCCTCCAGTTTTCTCTTCTCAAGGCTGAACATGCCCAGTTCTCTCAGTCTATGCATGAACATGCATGAACACATGCAAGAAAATAATTATGCTTTCCTTCTAGGTCCTTCTCCAACATACAGCCCTTTCCCCTGCTGAGAAATTTCTTGCATGCTCCTAGGAAATGTATTTTACACAAAATGAAAACCACAGGCTCATCCTGCAGTACTGAAGTTGATCTCACTTCTCTTCAGCTACATTAAGGAATGACTCAGAAAATCAAGCAAATATAAGAAAATCTTTTAGATCACCGTACATTTTCAGTATTCAGTGAAGTACAGTTTCCATAAGGACAGGAGATTCTTCCATATTATGGGGCAAAAAGATCTGTTTCAGACAGAACTGAGGCAGCAGGGAGTAAAGACCGATAAAGATAGGAACTGCTGCTTGAATTGTGCAGCAAATGCTGGGCCTAGGACTGTATGCATTTGGATTCTACTTTATGCTGCAAGGTGTCTTGAAGGAACATTGTTTGTGATATAAACCATAGGATTTGTTGAAAACTATCCACAGTTATAGGAATGATGAAAAGAATACCTTTGTATCGATAAACTCATTACTACTATTAAAAGACAACTTTCTCATAAGCTGACACTGTGCACAGATAGCAAAATAACTAAAGATGCAGGGCAGTAAGTGAACAGGCACATAAAGTTCATTTAATCGCTGCAAGCCAGGTCTCAGCAACCAGGCAACATTGGCAAGATCATGGAACAGCCCTATCAGAGGTCTCAGTCACCTTATCAAGGAACTACAAAGGCTTCACATGCTGCCTGATTTACTTCAGGAGCTTTAAGAAGCAATAACTCCATACCAGTGGAACTCTGTTCCAGCTGAAGTAAGCAAGACAACCTCACTGGGTTCCTAAGAACACCTTTGTTTACAACCACTTTCTCATTAAAATTGCTTTGAGTTGCTGCATATCAGGTGCTTTGTCAGTTCTAATTATTTACCTGATTTTCCTGTTGTTATTGGGCTCCACATTGTGATTGATCTTATTGCTGGTTCCCATTGCCTGTTACTGTTATGATGTTTTATATTTTTAAGTTATTTGGTATATATTGAGAATGTCAAAAGAAACCTTGAAAGGGTATGACCCTAGAAGGGCAGCCTACAATTTTTTAAACAAATTCAAGTACGTGTCCTGAGTCCCAAGAACTTCTGGAAAGAGTTGTATGGCTGAAAATACCAGTGGGTCCCAGTTTTCATGAAGACATTGTTTAAACTTTCCTGTCACTCAGCTTCTCTGTTCTCTCAAGTTTCCTCACAGCATCAGCTTCTTTAAGTAAAAAGTCCAAGCAAAGTGATCTAATCTTTACCTCCTGCTTTTCTCCTTCCCCATGAACACGCTAGTAAGACCACACAATTTGTATGCATGCAGTCAAGATGGCAGAAGGCTCTGCCTTTCAATAGTTCTCCTTCTGACACTTACTGATGTGTTTATACAGTTTCCCAAATTACTAAATCTAAACAAAGTGTAACACTCCTTATGATCCTTAACACTTCTTCACTTATGATCCTTAACACTGTTCCATGATAGCTAATGCTAATAGTGGGCTAAAGCCAAGGCTCTGACTGAAGGCACATGAGCCAACATCATGGGAAACATGGGTAACCTACCCCATCATCAGGGCTGAAGTGGCAAAGGTCCTACAAGAAATATGCAGTTCTGTGCACTTCTGAATGTTCATGTGCAGCTGCTTGATTTCTATAACACTGTGTGCATCTCTCAAACAATGTTCTAGAGTAGTTCAGGAAGTTGGACTGAGATGCTGCAGAAACAGCTCCCTTCCTGATTTTACCTTAGCACAAACACTTCTGACTGTGCCCCCTTGCTTCCTCATAGATATGGTTTTGTTAAAGTTATGCTCATGTCCTGGCTTTAAAAACAACAACAACAACGAATCCAAGGTGGTTTACATGGTCCTCCTTCAATCCATTTCATCCTTTCAACAATCCTGTAGGGTAGGCAAAGCTAAAGAGTCCACGACTAGACCATCCCGTGAGGTTTAGAGAGGAGTGCACACTTGAATCCGGATCTCCGAGCCCCTGCCAGCACTCCCACCACAACACCACTGGCACTAGATGAACTCAACCTTGTCTGGGAAGGAGCCCACTCAGGCCCTAAGAACGGGCAAGTTCCGCCAGGGCGCAGCCAGGCAGAGGACACCTCCTCCCGAGACATGCACAACTTGGCGGCGAGGAACTCCGCTCGCCCTCCCTCCGTATCGACTGCAGAGGCCGAGCCGGCGGGGCGAGAGGGCCTCCGCAGCTCCGCTCGGGCCTGCCTGTGCCGGGCGCAGCGGCACGGAGCACGCAGGCGACGAAGAGGACAGGAGTCCGCTTCCTGCCGGCGACCCGGAAGGGCCGCTCCGGGACGGCTGAGCCGAGCAAGATCCTTCGCGGATCGTGGCTGCTTAACTCCTTCCTGCGCCGACAGGCAGCCACCCAGCAAAGGGGCAATGGAGCCTCTCCCTTTCCCGTTTTCGGAGCTAGCCAGGCCCTCGACGGGGAGAATTCCGCCAGCCCCGGGCGGAATGCAGACCGGGTTTCCCCGGGGGAGGGGAAACGGCGAAGAAAAAGGGCCCCGAAGATCCGTGAACTGCCCATCTCCCCGTGCAGAACTTACCGGGCCGGGTCCCTGCGGCGGAGGCGGCGGCAGGAGCAGGAGGCTGGCATCCAAAATGGCGGCGGCGCGGCCTCAGCACCGATACCGCAGGCGGAGGAATTCTGCGACCGGGACTTGCTGGCTCCTTTCGTCCAGGGCGCAAAAGCTCGTGGAGTCCACGCGCCGCCCTGCGGCCTCCATTGCCGCCGCCGCCACCTTTCGTCGCTGAGTAGGAGTCTCGTAGCACGGAACTGCAGAAGCCAGCCCCCGGACTAGTTTCCTTGGCGGAGGCATATACAGTGGTACTACACCGGCAATGGGAAATTGCGCCGTGGCAGGCAATGATGACGTCAGACGCCTGCCTAGTCACCAATGCGGTTGTGCTCGTGATATCTGTCCGGCCCGATCCTGCTCGCAAATTTTAAGGTTCCGATCTGGAGACACATCTGCCTGGTAGACTGTCTGTGCCGCCGGAGACGCTAGACAGGAAGGCACTGCCCAGGTGTTTCAGGAAGCGGCTGCGAGCGAAGAGAATGTGTGCTTCCGCTACCTGCTGCATCCCTTTCTTGACCAGGTGAAGGGCCAACCGTAGCGGACCTTGTCAGTGCAGCCCACTGCGATGCCCGCTTAGTCGGAAGTACGCCCACTGTGGCTAACTGTGCCCTAAATGTGCAGAGCCACGTGAGCTTCAAACTTGCAAGATCTATCCTGTGAGTTTTTTACTTGATTTTTGAGGCCCCCACAAGGTGCAGAACAGCTCAGGCACGTGGACATGCTTAAGAATGAAGGCAGGGATGAGGCAAGTGTGCCTCTCCAGATGTTGAGGGAGTTTGGACTTCACTTCTCGGCAGTTCTGGTAGGACTGATGAATGTTGCACTACTGCAGCATTTGGAGGGGGTACACTTCCTTCACCCAGGTACTGTAGTCACAAATCCGTTTTCCCCAGTATTCCGTTTCAACAGCCCAATTTTGGGTTGGAAGCTTTTTAGGCGATACCACTGTCAAACAACTGGGAGTCAGAAACTGCTGATCTACTAAAAATCGTATTTTCCTGTGTATTGAACTACCTTTGTTTTATTTACCGCCCCAATGAAACCAGCAGGGAAAAGAGTCGTGCCCAAGCTCTACAAAACACGTTTTGTGAACGCAGACGGGACCAAAGGGGCCACAAGGGAGGCGCTGCCAGCCTACCTTCCCTCACACAGGGGCAGGTGGCTGCTGTGAGAATCCGGCTGTGCTGAGACCAGGCTCCCCACATCCCTCTGGCCGCCCTCCTCAACCCCAGCGGGTTAAGCCAAGCCGGCTCCGGCAGTGATGCGGGGCCCCGTTCCTGGGCACGGCCGGCTCGTATGGCGCTTCCCGGGAAGCGAAACGGTGCGCGACGAGGCGCCCCCGGCAGCCCAGCCAGGCAGGCGCTGCGGGAGGGGAGGAGCGGGCTTGCCGCGTCACGTGCTGACGGGGGCTGGGCGTGGCCACCACGGCGCTGGCGGTTGGCATGGGAACCGCGCGTCATTGCGATGAGCCCGGCGCGATGCGTGTGGCGTCATGGCCGCAGCAATTCCGGCGCGCCGGTGAGGCGGAGGAGGGCGGGGTCGGTGGCGGGATGGAGCCCGGCCGGGCAGGCGCCGGTGGCGGCGGCCACGGCCGAGGCGGCGAAAAAGCCGCCGCCGGTGCTGGCTGAGCGGCCCGTATCGCGCCCGCTTCGAAGTACTGCGCCCCGGCGCCCGAACTCTCCGGCCTCGCTCGGGCGACGCCTCTGCGCCCCCGCCTCGTCTGCGTCGACGTCCTCGCGGGTGAAGCTCCTGCCCTCGCCGCAGCGGCAGCAGCAGGAAGAGGCGAAGCGGCGCCATGCGAGCGGCCCAGGAGCGCGGTCAGGAGTGCCTCCCGCCCAAGAAGCGAGAGCTGCCCTCGGCCAGCAGCAACAGCCAGGACCGCGGGACGGGCGGTGGAGAGGCCTCGGCGGCGGCGGAATGGGCCCGGGGGGCGGCGGCATCCAGCGGACTGAGCCAGGCGCCGGCTTCCCGATATAGCGAGAGCGGTGGCGGCCCCCCAGAGGCTGTCGCTAGCTTGACCGTGGACCAGTACGGCCTGCTGTACAAAGTGGCGGCGGTGCCACCGGCTACCTTCTCGCCGGTGGTGAACGTGAGCTCGCTGCCCCCGGCCTTCAGCATGCCCTCCCCGCTCCTGCAGCACCCAGCAATCCAGTATTCGCCCATCCATTACACTCCGTTGCCCCCAGCCCCCTTGCAGTTCGTCGGCTCACCCTACTCACTGCCCTATACTGCTGCCACAGTTCCTTCGGGCTTCCTGCCTGGCCACCTTCTGCCGCCTCCAGCAGGCCTGAGCGCCTCCCACATCCCTCACTTTGTGCCGTACGCTCCCCTGCTGGCTGAAGATTCTGACCCTCCCCCACAGGCAGCCCCCTGCTTTGGCAAGACCTCTACTCCAGCTTCACCGCCAGGCCCTGTGCTGCAGCCCCATGGAGGGAGCCAGCCACTGGATGTTTCACAGGGCCGAATTCCAGTCTATTATCAGATGTCCCGCCTGCCCACAGGCTATTCAACATTTGAGGCTGCTGTTGCTGGCCTAAACCCAGAGCCCCCACCTCTGCTGGAGAGCCAGTTAAATCCCAAAGTAGTCACAGCAAACGGGGAGCAGAGGTGTGCCACAGAGACAAAGGAAAGTGAGGCAGAAGGGCAGCGGCCAAGAACAGCTTTGGAGAGTGACACGGCGGGCCCCCTTTTAACCAGTGCTCAGATTGTGAGAACGGAGGACTATGTGCCATCTCAGCGGAGTACCCCGGAAACAGACCTGGAGGTGCAGAGGGTGGTGGGAGTGCTTTCGTCTCAGGATTACTCTGTTTGCTCTGCTCAGCAGAAGGATGGCTCAAGCCCTCTAAACCTTTCCCATCGCAATCCCCCCGAGCAGAAAGAGGAGACATTGAGGAACCCAGTGGAAGCTGCTGCTACTGCCACAGAGAAGTGCCATTTGCAGAAACTGTCCACAAGGTCTCCCAAGGAGCAGCTCTGCCACAGGCATGTCTGTGCAGAATTGGCCATGGCCAATGGCAAGCCAATCCCAGGATCCTTCCAGCTTGCCGATCAGGACAGCCTTGGCACAGCAAGTCCGGAGGCACAACCAGAGGCAGAACTTGCCCATTCACAAAATCATTTGCCTTCCCATTTCATGAAAGGGGCCATTATCCAGCTGGCTACTGGGGAGCTGAAACGGGTGGAGGACCTGCAGACTCAGGACTTTGTGCGCAGCGCAGAAGTGAGCGGTGGTCTCAAGATTGACTCGAGCACTGTGGTGGACCTCCAGGAGAGCCCGTGGCAAGGCCTTGTCACGCTGCAATTTGTGGTTGGGGAGCAGCAGAGCAAAGTGAGCATTGATGTCCCCCCAGAACACCCTTTCTTTGTGTATGGTCAGGGCTGGTCCTCCTGCAGTCCAGAGCGGACCACCCGGCTATTCTCCCTGCCCTGCCACAGGCTCCAGGTGGGTGATGTTTGCATCTCTATCAGTTTGCAGAGTCTGAATGGAAGGCTTGCTCCCCAGGCCAACCCTGCAGAACTTGCCCAGGAGAGGACTGGGCAAAGCATGCAGAGCATCCGGGAGTCGCACCTCCCAACAGCGGAGAAAAGCCCTCTGCAGAAGGCTGGGGTGACCCTGGGCTCCCCTCAGGGAGCTTCCCACTTTGACCCCATTTCTGTGCATGGCTGGGCAGGTCCCAGCTTCCAAAGATTTGGGGAAGAGCCCCAGCCCCCCCTGCTTCGGCCCTCGTTTATTCCCCAAGAAGTTAAGTTGTCCATTGAGGGCCGTTCAAATGCAGGGAAGTGAAGCCCTTTTCGAAGGTGAACTGTTTGGCTTGCCAAACTGAGCTGCACCCAGATTAGCCACTGCTGAGATCCTCCTGATACCGAAGGGATGCCCAGCCCTTCTCCCAGCAGCTCTGTGCCTAGAAGCATTCCACTGAGAAAGGATTCTCCCCTCCCTGCAGGACAGGCCTGAGGGGGCACGGGCACGCTCTGAAAGTAGCAGTTCTTGTTTTGTCTGTGACAAGTGGAGCCCAGTGTCCCTCATCATGCAAGCACTTTAATAGGATACTTGCTCACGCAGTGCAGGGGGCTTTCACCAGGAGGGAGGAGAGGTGGGGAGGGGGAGAGTGAATCAAGTCTCGCTCTGCTCAGGTCTGAATCAAGCCGTTTTGCTCTGGGCATCGCAGCAGCCACCCCTTCCAGGCTTTGAATCAAGGGAGCCTGGACTTCTCCTCAGGGAGGTATTTGTATGCAATTTCCTTACAATTGTTTTATTGAGGGGGAAAAAACCCAATCAGCTGCATTCTGATGAACTGCGAGCCAGTCAAGTGTGTGGTTTCTTGGCCCTGTAACCAGGCTGGGCTGAGATCCAATAGACAGGAGGAGGGCAGGTGTGAAAGCAAGTGAGTTTAATGCACAGGCAGTATTTTCAGTCTGGCTATTTCAGCCTGTCGACATCCTGCTACAGTCCCCCAGTTTCCAATCTTTGAGATAGGCTGCATGTCCTCCTCTTGTGGGTACCACTGCCCATGCAAGCGTCCAAAGCTGAGCCTGACCAGGACATCTGGGGTGGGATTTGGGGGCCTGATCTGGTTTGGCTGCAGTTTTGGAGCAACCCAGGTGACAGATAACTCTTCTGGAAGCTGTTCATGTGTCATTCAGTAGTTTACACACACATCCATACGCGCCGATCTTCCTTGTTTTGATGAAAACATCTTTCTGGGAACCATTTGGGGATGGTAAGCTACCTTAACCAATTTGCAGCTTTTGAAGGGGATGGAAAAGGCAAACAGCATGTAAGAAATACTTGGTTCATATTCTTTAGATGAAGATGACCAGGGTTTTTTTTTTTGTGCCTGGCAGCTCAAACAAACTAAAGCGAGATATGATTCAAGTGGGTAACAGCTTTCCGTTAGAAAGCCTCTGTTAGAAGAAATGCAAAATGGAAGTTTGTACAAGATGTCTGCTGAAGCAGTTTCCTTGGCCCAGAGTCTCCTGTCTTGGTGTCTTTGAACCTCTGGATCCAGACAAGGGTGAGCTCTGTTGTCTGGTCCTCGAACAGCATTTTGAAACCACCTCCCAACACCCAAAAGGGGTCAGCTTGGTTGGTTCTTGCGCACTGCTTTCTGCTCCTCAGGGTGGCACTGAGGTCATTGTTTGCCAGCAGCTGTGACCTCCTTGACTGACCAGCTCCCTCCCTAACCCTAACCCTCCCCCTCCTCTGGTTCTCTGTGTATTGTAGTTGAAAGGCGAGCTTTGCTTTCCCCACTGGGATCTTCTTGCTGTCTTCTTCCAAAGCACCCAGCACTTTGCACTATTCCTGGCCGTCTTTTGGCCTAGATGTCCCGTGGCCTTTCTTAATGTTCTCCTGGACTCCTCCAGATGGTCCTTTGTGCACTTCCTGTCCTGTCCTGTCCTGTCCTGTCCTGATCTCTGTGTAAAGGTTGCACCAGTCTCCTTCTTGGCCCTTTGGCTGCCTGATATCAGGGACAGCTGTTCTGGAGGGTTTGCCCTACTTCCCTCAGGGCCTGACCGGGAGGTGTCTCCAGTGGCTCGTGGGGCCCTGTCAGCCACAGCTGGGCCTGGCATTTCCCTTCTCAAAGTGCCCATCTCGTTCTCCACAGCAGTGCCAGTCTTCTGTGACTGTTGAGACTGTCTCCTTTGGATAACCTACCCTAAAGCATTCTTCTCTTTAACTCATTACTGAATCTGCTTTCTGAGGTGTTGCCTGTGTTGGCATGCAGTTTTCACAACTGAATTGAAAATAGAGCTGCGGCATGTGGAAGCATCTTTGGCCATGGCTCCAGCTGGGGTTGTTTCCCAGAGCAATAAGCTATTCCTCACTTGACACTACAGCGCAGTGGAGGCAGGGGGCTCCCTGATGTGCAATACGCTGAGATGGGCATTACTCAAGGAGTAGTGTTGGAATGAGGGAAGACCAGTGAATGATGGCCACTGTGTCGTATCTGCTAGCCTGCTTGCCAGATCTACTTAGAGCTTCCCCTTGTCGCAAGCTGCTTCTGTCACCTGCCTGCAAGAGCACATGTGCCTTTCCCCGTAGAAGCTCCCAGGTATGTTATTCAGCGGAGGGTCTGGCCCCACGGCTGATTACAGAGGAGGAGGAAGGCAGGAAAGCTGATTTGGAGGTCTGTCCCTACCCCCTGCCAGCAATTGCTTGCGTAGCACCTTAGTTGGGGTGGGCCATCTGCTCGGATGCGGCTGGCAAAGGGAGTGTCTCTGTGTAGCAAATCCAGAATTAAGTCATCTTCACACTGTAGCCACCTGCATTATATCTAAAGCCTTAGGACTAGCTGAACACCCAGCCCCTTCTCCTACCAGATTTTAAAGAAGCATTATCAGTCTAAGGGGGATAATCTATTTTGTTGTGCTTTTTTTGTACTTGTTTTGAATAAATCAATTTGTACTGTATATTTGTACTTTGGGTGAGATCCTTTTCTCTGTTTTACCATTTAAAGTCTCTGTACACACAGATTGTATTTTTATTGTTAATGCTCTTACAAATACTGCATTTAACTTGTTCACTATGTAAACAGTATATATAAATATATACATATATCTATATATCTATATAATTATAAGCCAATAGCTTTTCTTCTGCTGTGTGTGTGTCTCTTGCCTGTCTTACCAAACAAATCCTGGCCAGAATCTCAGAAATGGAAAGCTAAAGGTTCATCGCCACCATCTTAACATTATAATGTTGTGCTGTCTTTTGTTTTTGTTCAGCTAGACATTCAAGCACTTGTTTGGACAGAGATGTGCAAGGGCAGCTTCCGCGTAAGAGTGAGTATTGTGGGTGGTCTCCTTACAAGCCTCAAGCGGGGCCTGCCCTGGCACCGAAGTAGTGTTTGTTTATGGCCTCTTGGATACCGTACTCACTTTATAGCTGCTGTTCTTCATACATGGGCAACAAGCCCAAGCACATAGAAGGGAGGCCACTATGTATATGGAAAAATATTCTAGAAAATCAGCAGAGCTTATTGGATCTTTCAGTTAAAATGGGTCGCTATTGGGTAGTCAGTATGTGGATGTCAGAGCGCTAGTTTTTTAGTTTTACTGACTTCTTTATCCGTGTTAGCTTGGTGGTTAATGCCCCAAACTTTTGCAATGACAGCTGCCAGCCTCATGGTGGCCCTGGAACCCATTGTGCAAGTTGGCCAGTCAGTTACCTGTGCCTACGCCAGTGCAGAGACTGGAGGGGCTTCCCTGCCTATTCCTTTTGCACTTGTGGCAAAGGACCAGACATGCATCCCACCCCAAAATTTAGTAAATGGAGCAGTGCGAGAGGTCCTTGGCCACATCAGTGCAGAGCTCGCTCCTTTGAGTTGTTCCTCTTTACTGCCTTTGGGAGCTGTTTAGTTTTCTGACTTTGTATCATGCGTAACAGGTTGAAGGCCAAATATTCCATTGCAGTGCAAGCGTAGAAGTGATCATCCACACTAAAGCCTCTCCAGAAAATGTAGAGGCTCACCACCCTCCTAACACAGTGGCCTGACCAGCCTTCTGCAGAAAGGTGTTTCTTGAGCCTGCCTTCTTTAAATTTTTCTAAGCAGGTAAAAAGGTATTTTCCTTATAGCGGGAAAAGGCAGGATTTAAATGCAGTGTAACCATAAGTGAAACCTCTCCCTTGCTGGCATGTTCTTGTCCCTCCTTTGTTGCCTCCATCCATCCACACCTGTCCCCACAAAGTGTAGAGATAAGGTGACAAAATTGCAATGAGCTCTTGACTTCCTGTCCCCCTTTCAGCAGTGTAATACTCAAGAGAGAAACTTGGAACACGTATAATTAATTTATTATCCCTGCCCCCTCGACAGCCAGTGACTTCTGGGCCATACACAGTTCAGAGACTGCCAGCATCCCAACCTCTCCCCAGAAGTCTTGGCCCCTCTCAAGTTTCATTGTCTCCTGGTGCTGCCGTGAAACCCCAGCCAGGGTACTCCTACTGGGCAGCTAGTCAGTGCAGAGAGCTGGGGCTGGGTTCTTCAAATCCCATCTTGCTGAGCAGCTGCCCATCGAGCTCCACGCCCCCCACTGGCAGGGGGAAGAAGTTCATCTCAGCCGCCAGAGCAGCCATTGCAGAAGGATCCTGGCCAAACTGCGCACGCAGCATCATGTCCATCTTCTCCAGCCTCCGTTTCAGCCTCTTGGCTTCCCGCTCCCGAATAAGCCGGGCCTGGCGCTTCTCGGGAGTCTCGTTGGCACGCTTGAGCCGCATGGCTTCACGGTCCCGCTGCAGGCGCCGTGCCCGCTGCTCATCCGTCTCCTGCATGCGCTGCAAGCGCTTGGCTTCACGATCCCTCATGCGCCTCACCTCCCGCTCCTCCGGTGTCTCGTTGTCTCGCCGACTCTTCTTGGCCGTGCGCTCCCGCTCCAGGCGCTGCAGCCTCACCTCCAAGGGCTCATTCTGCCGCCGCAACGCCCACTTGCGCACCCCGGGGGCTTGAGCTTCCAGAAGCTTGCGATAAGCCACACAACTGTTGCACACAAGGAGGATGCCAGCAGGGTACACGGTGGGGTTGAGAGCAGTGGCAGCGGCGGCAGCTTTCTCTTCAGCCCCCGGGGAGCCCTCAGGGAAAGGGAGCGGCAGAGCATCTCCACACAGCACTTCCGGCACCTTCTCACTGCAAAAGGCAAAACCCAGGCAAGAATAGACCCCCGAGACTTCCCTTTGGCTCTGCAGGTTGTTGCCTTAGCTGCGGTCCCCCCCCGCCCCCCATGCGTACGAAGTCCTCCTCCTGTAAGGAGCCCTGACAGCCCTGGTCTGGAAGGGGGGGACTCAGGGTCATCTTCTCCAGCTAGTTCCTGGATCTACTAGGCATGACCTCTTTGGTCTCAACAAGACCTCCAGACAAGGCTCCTCCAGACCTGCTTGGCATCCCATCAAGCATCTCTTTCAAAGCCAGAGAAGTTCCAGCTTCTCACCTGTTGAAAGTGGCATAGCTGGTGAAGCGTGCCCCACACACTGCACAGTTGGACAGCTGGTCCTCGGAGTGGATGAGGAGGTGCCTGCCCAGTGAGCCAGGGGAACTGAGTGCTCGGCCACAGACGGGACACAAGTAGCTCTTAGCGCTGACTGCAGCTGCTGTATGCTGCAAATGAGGCCGGGCTGTGAGGCAAGAACTCCACCACCCTTTCCCCTCTCAGTTGCCCGTGAGGACTGGCTGAAGCCAAGCTACACAGAGCTCCTTCTCTGGTCAGGGAAGGAAGGAAACCCCACAGGGCCTTTACTGAGGGAAGAGGTGATCCCCCATGTCACCTCACTCTTCCTGCCCAGCCAAGAACCACCACTTCACTCTAAGCTCACTTGATAGCAATCTGATAGTCCCCTCTGAATACCTGATAGACATGAGTGACAAGCTGCTCCCGGCTTCCACAGTCCAGCTGGCAAAGGGGGCATCTGGAGAGCCCCAACAGGGCATCTGGACCAGTGTTTAAGCCCACCTGAAAACAAGAAGAGGCTCAGGAAGGAGCAGGGGAGGGCAGTCACTCTGCACTGCAAAACCAGGGAAGACTAAGCAGCTGGCATCCAAGCAGCTGGAAAAACACACCCGAGGAGCCCTGCTTGAGGGACCGCCAGTCTAACTGCATCATTTATTTCCCACAGAGGCCCTACCAGCTGCCTTACCAGCCAGGCACAAAAGCATGCTTCCTTTCTGGGAAAGGCAATTCAACAGCCTCCACACCCAATGCCTGCAGATATACTTGTTCTCCATACCTGAGCCATAGCTGAGAATTTGCTACCATCTTCCCTTCCCCAAAAGACCTCAACCCACCCCACAGCAGTGTGGATCCCTTTGCATGCCACACTCTGGCTGCCGTCAAAGAGGCACACTTGCCTCGTGGCCTGGGGTCACCTGTTTGCTGTGGCTGAGTGACTCTGCAGAGTCCAGTTCCTTTTTCACTGTGGCTGTGGCACTATCTTCCTCTGAGGCAGGAGAGGAGACCTCATCCTGCGTGGTCTCCTCATCCACATCACTGTCACCTGGAATACAATGCAACAGTTCTTGGCTCCATACCCAAGACCAGCTGCGCCTGCTGGGAGAGCTGGTGGTGCCTTGGGCCACCCCATCCTAGAAACAGCACAACTCACTGCTGCTAGAGTCCTTCTCAGGTAGTTGCTGCATCGGTGGCTGAGTGCCAAGCAACTCAGGGAAGTCCCTTTTCATCATGGCCTGTCGTGTATGCTCCTCCAGCCCAGCAAAGACGTGCTCCCCTAGAAGCAGAAATGAGAAGCGGCATCAGATCCCTGCTCGTCCTCTGCTCAGCCGGTCCTTGAACCCTTGTTGCCCATTGGTGATCTCCCCTACCTGAAGGTGGCCCAGAATGGGACTAATGCCTGGGGTCCACTCCCCAAAACAGCTTTCCCCAAACCCTTCCTGCAAAGCAACGGTGGCCTGACCAATCTGCCCCTTCGCATCCTTTCCAGCATGACCTGGAAATACAAATGGCTTCAGCTGCATTAAGCACACCGGCAGGGCTCCAAAGTGCCTCAGGCTCTCCCCAGCAGCCCACCAGAGGTTGCAGGCCTTTTCCTGCCACACCATTTCCTTCAAGAAATGCTCCTGTTATTTGTGGGTAAGACAGGTGAGAATGTGGCACCCTCCAGATGTCTGTGGGCTGCAACTCCCATCAGCCCCAGCCAGCATAACCAATGGAAAAAGCTTTGGCCCAGCCACATTCTCCACCCCAGTGCAAAAGATGTGCCATGGCAGAAAATGTTCCATGCTTACCATTTGATCATATTTCATTTCAATCCCATATTTTATTAGCAACGTCTAACAAGCTGGATTTCTTTGCAAAGCAGGTCTTGATTTTGGCTATCCTCCTGCTCTGAGGCTAGGTGCGAGGGCCACACCAAAACGCAGCTACCTGCTTCCAGCCACACCTGAGGCTACGGGCCCAGGGAGAGGCGCAAGCTCGCTGAGCCGCTCTGCCCACCACCCCTCCGGCTTACCATCCGCCGAGGCAGCGCTTCGCTTACGGGGCTGCCTTCGGCCGGGCCAGGGCAATCACCCCCCACCACAAGGGGCACGAGGAGCCGCCAGGCCCAAAAGACGAGCGCTCAGCCCGGGCTCTGAGCCGCCTGCGCTGGGGCGGGGAGGAGGGAGGGAGGGAGGGGAGGCGCGGGGGACACGTCCGGAGACCCGGAGCATCCGACGGCGCTCGGTAAGCGCCCCTCCCAGCTGGCCCCGCGCAGGCGGGGAAGGCGCCGCCCGACCGCCCGCCCGCGCTCCTCGCCCGTCCGCTACTCACAGTGCACTTTATTGGGGGTGGTCTGTTTCCGCCGGGACATGGTTCCCCCCCCGGGGGGGGCGCACCTGGGGAGAGAAGAGCCCCGTCAGCCCCGCGCGCGCCGCGCCAGGTCGGGCCGGGCCAGGCGAGGACCCGGACTCGGACCCGCCCGCCTCCCGCCGCGGCTCTCACCTGGCCGCAGGGCTCCGTCGCCCCGACCGGACTCGCCCAGCCGCGCGGACAAAGGGCCACCCGGGATGTCTGGCGGACCGATACAGAGGCGGAGTGAAGATGGCGGCGCGGCGGGAGCGCCCGGCTCGTGCACGGCGGGACCGGCGGACAGACGGGCGGGGGCGCGCCGCGCTCGAGCCTGCTTGCCTTCGAGGAGGAGGAGCGGAGCGCCCTCCGGCCTCGCAGCCACGAGGGCGGCCGGTCGGGCGCTAGGCAGAAGAGGACGCCGCCGTCTCGCGGAGCCCTTTTTCCGAGGCCGCCGCGAGGCGTCCCCGGAACCGGCCAGGGTGCCGTCCCGACAGGCAGAGGGAGACGTGAAGGGACGCGCGCCTGCCCCGGCACCACCCGGGGGACTCTCAGCCGCTTCCCTCCGCCGGTGCTGGGAAGCAGCATCCACCGCGAGACGCCCCGACCTCACATGCTCCCTGCGGCCGGCGGGCGGGCACTCGGCCGCCAGCCCGCCCACTGGCTGAGGCTGCTGCGCCCTTCCTCCCAGCCCCACGCCGTGCGGGACCCTGGAGCTCGCGCGAACCCGGAACGTTCTAGTCACGGCTGCGGGGACGGGCGGACCACAAGCAGGAACCGCCGCTCTAGGAAGGACGAATCTCCTCTCCGTCTCTGTCCCTGGATGTCTCGGCACACAGAGGTCCCTCCGCCCGAAAAGTAGTTCCGCACAAAAAGAAGTTCTCCCGGACCTGCACAAACGCGCCCGCTGCGTTGCCCTGGGAATCCGCGTTGCTCGAGGCGGGTCTTCGCGGCCGGCGGCGGCTGACGCGCACTTCCGGAGGTGGGTTGGGACGGACACAGGTGGCCATTCGCCGGACAGACCGAGCCGTATTCCTCCGCCTGCCGACGACTCTGTTCGGGCCCACAGGCGGCCCTGCAGCCCGGGTAGAAGCGCGAGCTGCCGCCGCCGCCGCCCTCGCTGGTACGAGCAGCCCCCGCCCGCCCCCTCCGACCCCGAGCAAGGCCCGCCGCCGCGTCCCGCCGCCGCAGGGGCGTCTCTGCCCAGCGGGGCGACGGCAGCCTCCGGCAGGCAGCTGCGCGGGGAAGGGCCTTCCAGGTGGGTTGGGCCCTCTTCGCCCGGCCCGGCCCGCTTCCGGGTTGCTCCCTGGAATGGTGGTCAGCTGGCCGGCATTGATATTCTGGCCCGAGCTGCTGGCGAGAGCAGTTCTCTTTGGGCGCTGATCCCCCCCAGAGCCTCCGGGTGCTTCTGCGCAGTTCTGCGGCCACCGTCGCAGCCAGGAGGGAACCGGGCGGTTTGCCCGGGATTCAGGAGGGCCTGTTTCTCCGTTTTGGAGCAAAGCAGTGATAGCCATGAGGCGAGTGAGTGGCCTTTGCCTGGAAGGAGAGTGATGTTTCAGTAGTCGTTGTGCTTCCCCAGTTTGTTGCCTTTTAGCAGCTGTTTCCTGGAATGGAGTGAGAGACGTCTTCATGGGAAGAGCTGCTTTGCATTCGCCCAAGGGCTGATTCTTTAGGACAGCCCTTCTCACCCTGGCACCCTCTGAAGGTTGTCAATTTCAATCCCCATCGGTCTTAGCCAGCATAGTTAATAGCCAGGAGCCCTGGGAATTGTTGCCTCAAACAACTGGAAGGCTTTCATAAGAGATAGAAATGGGGTTGGGGGAGAACAGGAATATAGTAATCCAAATGGAAGAATTCTCTTTCATTTGAAATTGGACAGTTTGCTTTTTTCCTGTATACAGTCAGGTCACCTTCTGCATGCTATTTGGGTCTCTGAGCTTTAGGAGCAGCTAGAATTCATGGCATGTCTAACCTTGAACTTTGCTCTTCAACTAAAACTGGCATTAGTTTATTTCCTGTTTTTTACGTGGTTAAGTATGATATGCGCTTGCTAGTAATGGAGGAAGCTGACTGCCTTGATCAAGAGGTGTTTTGTCTGCCATGCAGGAATTCCACACCATGTTGGGCTCTGGTTTCAAGGCTGAGCGCTTGCGAGTCAATTTGCGTCTTGTCATCAATCGCCTCAAGTTGTTGGAGAAAAAGAAAAGTGAGTGCGCATGTGCCTGTGCCCATGGGAGAGGACAAAAGCTGTTTCTTTTCTCATTGTTCCCCACCCTATCGCCAGAGTGGCTCTCCTGGGCTGATGATGGCTGCTCCTGTTCTTGGTTGTGTTTCCAGCATTTCCACAGGCCACAGAGTTACTTACAGGGCTTGTCCATAGGGTGTTAGTGTAGGCCTACTTGTTACCTGCTCCAGAGACCCCCCTCTGTTACGTTCTGGTCCTTGAGAATCTCCACTCAGGGCATAGGACCGGGACAGATGAGTGGACCACCTTCTTCAGTCTGTGACAAGCTCTTGTCTTGCAGCTGAGCTAGCTCAGAAAGCCCGGAAGGAAATTGCAGACTATCTGTCTGCTGGCAAGGATGAGCGGGCCCGCATCCGAGTGGAGCACATCATTCGGGAGGACTATCTGGTGGAGGCCATGGAGATCCTGGAGCTGTACTGTGATCTGCTTTTGGCACGCTTTGGCCTCATTCACTCCATGAAGTAAGAGCGTGATATTGCAGGGTAAAGGTGCTGGGAGAAAGCTACCACCTGCCAGGCCTCTATAATGACTTCCTGCAATCCCTTTGCTTCTCATCAAGATGTGGAGTGCTTTGGAAATGAGCTTGGTGTGGTTTTATGTTGTACCTGCAGGGAACTGGACTCTGGCCTAGCTGAAGCCGTCTCTACTCTCATCTGGGCAGCCCCCCGACTGCAGTCAGAGGTGGCTGAGCTGAGAATCGTGAGTAATGCCAGCTCTGTCTTGGTAGGCCAGGTGATCCCTGGGTTGCTGCCCAACTACCTGAAAGGCCTGGGAAATGACCACTGGCAGGACTGCTGGATCTCCTTTGAGTCCCCCAGGAGGCTAAGAGGGCCAGCATAATCTGAAGAACCAAAGCTGGCTCTCTCGCTTCCAGGCCCAGTTCCTCTGCTTAAGGGTCGCCCCGCTGTTCCTCTGCTGTTCCTTAGAGGGACCCCCTGCAGTTTCCAGCCTCCTTGTTGAATGTCCCTCTTCTGTGTCAGGTCGCTGACCAGCTGTGTGCCAAGTACAGCAAGGAGTATGGCAAGCTGTGCCGAACCAACCAGATTGGGACCGTCAATGACAGGGTGAGAGGGAGGACTGCATGGAGGCGCTTGGGGGGCACAGCCCTCTGCAGGGGGTGGGGGTGGGGATAAGGGGAAGGCGAGGCCCTCCTCTCAGAAGGGTGCCTTCCCTCTGGCTTGAGTGATCCCTCCCCAGTCTTCAAAGGCTGATTCTTCCCACGGCTGCTCCCTTCTAGCTGATGCATAAGCTGAGCGTTGAGGCACCTCCCAAAATCCTGGTGGAGCGCTACTTGATTGAGATTGCCAAGAACTACAACGTGCCGTACGAGCCGGACTCCGTGGTCATGGTGAGTGGGGCAGGAGAGCTCTTGGTGCTGCTGCTCCTGCTTTCCTGTCAACCGCCCTCTGTCCTACTTGACATGAGCCCGCTCCTCGTCTGATCCTAGGCTGAGGCTCCTACTGGTGTGGAGGCAAACCTGATTGATGTGGGATTCGTGGATGACTCAAAGAAGGGCGGTCACGGAGGTGGGGGCGGTTTCATGACCCCTTTGCCCTGTCCTGATGGAGTTGTGCCCATGCCGATGCCTTCTCCAGCTCCACCTTTCTCCTACCCACCTCCCAAGGGGCCGGTGAGTGCTGGTTTTGGCTCTTGGCAGGAGGGAGGGAGTCGAGCGAGTGCCAGTGCTGTCTGGCTTGGGGGATGTGGGGATGCGACACACGGCTGCCCTGAGTGCTGCCTGCGACGTAGGTGGAGCTTTCTTGGCAGCCCCTCTGCTTGACCAGCAGGGCGCTCCCCAGCTGCACTCCCCCCCGGATTGTTTTCATGGGGGTGGTGGGGGTACATCTGACTGGCCCTTTGTCCCCCACAGGAGAACTTCAATGGGCTTCCAGTGGGCACGTACCAGCCCTTTACTAGCCTTCACCCCCCTCAGATTCCAGCGACTCCCCCGACATATGAGTTCGTAAGTGCACTCAAAGGGCTGGGCCTCATTGCTTCGGGGAGGCATGTGCCGTGCGGAATGGTGGTGGCCCCTCTGGCTTCCTGCTTGCGGTTTTTGGTGCCACCTTGCAGGGGCCGCTTGAACATCCTCATGGAAGAATAGTGTTAGCTGGGCCTGTAAGGCCTTGAAGTCCAACTCGCCGCTTCATGCAGGATCCCAAGTTAAAATGTCCCTGGCAGATGCTTGTCCAGCTGCCTCGTGAATGCCTTCTTTGTGGGAGAGTCCACGACCTTCCTAGGCAATTGGTTCCATTGCCAAACTGCTCTAACAGTCAGGAAGTTTTTCTTGATGTCTAGCTGGAATCTGGCTTCCTGTAACTTAGATCCTGCGCTCTGGGTGATTGAAAAGAGATCCCAGTCATCCTCTGTACCACAGCCTCTCAAGTATTTGAAAAGCACTTATCCTCTCTCCTCAAGGCTAAACATGCCCAGCTCTTTACGTCTTTCCTAACAGTGATGCGTTTCCAGTCAAGCAGTGGACAAGGGCAAGCTCTGCCCTGCTGGCTGCTTTTGGAGTTGCTTTCCACCCCACGTCTTCTGCCAGGCAGGGATACAGAGCCCAGCCTGAGATCCCAATTTGGCTGCATTTCTTTTTCCATACCAACAGTTAAATGGCCCCCTGCTTTTTGTGCATTTTCCCCATTTTGAAAGGTTCCAATACCTATGCTAGTAAGAGCTTGAAGCTGTGGTTGGCTGGAACGTTGGTACTCTGGCCCTTTGCTTTCAGCTCCACCAGTCACTGGAATGTGGACCCTGAACGTTTATCCAAAATGAATTTTGGCTTATGGGCTGCAGCAGCCAGTTTATCTTGTGGCAGTGAGGGGAAGAGTGTTCATCTGCCTGGATGGTGACAGCTCCATGCACTAGTGTCTCCCAGAGCCTGGGGGAGGAAGGGTGCCTTGACTGCACAGTTACTCATCACTGGCAGTCAGAAGAACTGCTCCCTGCCCCCCTTTCCCCTGTCTCTCGGCTTGATTCCCTACAGTTTGGAAGGGAAAGCCGCCTCCATGGTGCAGCCCAGATGAGCCAAAAGCTGCCGGTGGCACCTTTCCTTGAGCATGGGCAAGACTTCCGTGGGCCTCCTGGGCAGCTTTGTCATGCAATGATGCAGGAAGGGAAGCTTCCCGAGCCTCTGTAAAGTCTGCCTCTGTCTGTTTCAGATTGATGACATCAGTGCTGACAAGGCTGTGCCCTCTGCACAGACACTGGGTGAGTCCCGAAACAGGTGCTAGCGGGCTGGAGGTGGGAGGGCCAGCTGTAGGGCCTGGCGGGAGCCAGGGCTCTCGCGCGCACTTGGCTTGCCGAGCTGCGGGGTGCCCGGCTTGGAGTGCACTGCCGCTGGTAACCGCCCCTTCTCTGCTGCAGGTCCCAGCCCAAAGCCCGCACCCAGGGGGCGCCCCCCCGTTCCTGCATCCAGTTCCGGGGATAACTTTGTTCTCCCAGAGCTGCCATCTGTGCCAGACACACTGCCCGTGGCCTCTGCTGGCACCAGCACCTCCGCCTCGGAAGACATTGACTTTGACGACCTCTCTCGCAGGTTTGAGGAGCTGAAGAAGAAAACCTAAGAGCACCTGGGGCGGGCTGGATCACCGCTTCCCCTGTTAGCAGCATGCCTGCGTGCTCTCTTCTCCTCCTCCTCTTCCTCCTCTTGGCTTTCTCCCTGCTATACTTACACCAAACGCCACTGCTTTTCCAATGCCCTCCATTGTGCTCCAGAAGGGGGCCTGCAGAGCCTCCTTGAGACGGGAGCAGGGAAGAACTCCATTTGGCCTGAGTTGCCCCAGAAAAGCTTTGCTTTGCTCTCTGGGAAGGGGAAGGGGGTGGTGCTGTTAGTGTCTCATCTGGACCAAGGGCAGTTTAGCAACACCCGCCAGAAAGTTCTGGGCAGCCTGATGGAACAGACGCTCCTTCAGGGGGTGCTGCAGAAGGCGGGCTGCCTTGATGCCCCCTAGCGTTGTGTGGCCTGCGACATTCTCAGGGAGCCCTTTAGGGCCTTATGACGTTCCTGCAGGGCGGAAGGCCGGGGATGAGTGAACGTGGGGGCCACGCCTGCCTGGGCAGCTCTTGGCTCTGTGATGGGTCCTCTTGCAGCTGGTGGAGAAGCAGGCGCCCTCTTCTGCCTCTGACAGATCCTGGTTCTGCCTTAACGTGGCCCAGAGAAGGTCCCGTCTGGGTTTGGGGCCACCACTTGACTTGCGCGTCGTTGCTTCTGGCACTCCAGCCATTTATCTGGCCACTGGGAAGGCCACAGGTGGCAGGATTCCGACAGCTGCCGCTGTGGACCACTTTTGCTCTCCGTTGTTACATCTCTGTGCACCAGTTTCACATGGCTTTTCTGGGACGATTTGGTGGGTTTATACCTTCTCTATTCTAAATAAAGTTGAGGAATAGTCTGCATTGGGTCTACCTCAGCGGGAGCGGTTCCCCCCCCCCCATTCACTGGAGGGGGGAGAGGCAGTGTCCTTGCCAGCTGCGGGTGCCCTGGGCCCATCCCTTGAGCTTGCTTGGATGACCTGGAGGCTGGCATTCTCTCACCAGATTTTCATTGCGAAAGGAGAGCCGCTGTGGCTGAGCAGAGCATGCTGTTTATTGAGGGAGAATGCAGCCGTGGCACCTGCGCTCTGCATGTCAGGGTGGGGCCCATCGGTCTTGGCTCTGCTCTTCCACACTGCACTGCACGTTGCAAGGGAGGATTTTAGCTGTGGGAGGCCAGGCAGCGGGGACCTGAGTGAAAGTGCCCTGGGGCCACTGTCATTGTGATCCAGGGGACCGGGTGTTCCCCACAGGTAAAAACCAACCCCGTGTCTCTGCAGGAAAGATTGCTCAGCTGCGGCATATGCTGGTCTGCAAGGGTGAGGGACGCTGGGTGGGGGGGGGGGACTGCCCGTGCTCTCCCAGGGTCAGACCCCCCCCCCCCGCAGGCTTGAGGGCTTGCTGCGTCCAGAAGAAATTGCTATGTTTGTTCAGTTCCTCCCGGCAAATGTGTGGCAGGGGGCGGACAGGACTTCCCATCACCAGATGTCAGGGACAGCTTACGATCACCAACCCTGTGGCGTGTCAAGAAGAAACACGTTACACAAAAAATAGTGTGCAGAAAGTGACATTGTGGCACTGTTGCGTTGGAAAGGGTCAAGCCAGTGGCACTGCTGTGTCGGAAAGGGCTAAGCAGCCTCTCTCCACCCACAACTAGGAAGAGAGGGTGCAGCAACTTCCGTGCTTTAGTGGTGCGTAGAAGACGAAAGTCCTTGGCGGGAGGTGGGAGGGGTCAGTCCTGTGCCTCCAGAGCGGTTGCCGCCACCACTGTCGTTTGTCGCTCAACTCCCAACAAGGCTGAGATCTTGAGCCGAAGCAGCCGCATTACGGATTCCTCCTTGCGGGCCTGCATTGTGGGGGAGGGGCTTGTGAGTGGGGGCTGCGTGCAGAAGTGGCAGCTCCCTGCGAGAAGGGTCTCGTGCGGCTCTTGACTGGGGTCGAGCTGGGCCGGACCCCTCTGACGATACTTGCCTTGGCGGCCTTCATCTCCTGGCTAAAGATGGTCAGAAGGGCAGAGACGAACAAGTTGAGGATCACAAACACCATGGAGAAGACGCCGGTAACGATCAGCGCAGAGCCCAGCACCGGGTCCAAAGCAATGACCTGACCACGGGAGGCACAGAACATGGGCTGGCGGCTTCTGGGCACATGCACCACACTGTCCGATGCTGCATGCTGTGCACGCCACGTTTCTGTCAGCCAAGGGAGCGGGAACCCACAGCACACACTCCGAGTACGGAACAAGCAGCTCCACAACCCTCCTGAATCGCCTCTGGGGTGAGCACTGACCTCTTCGTAGTTGAAGATGCCAACCAGGAGCCCCACAATGGTCACTCCTGAGTCGAAGAAGGTCTTGTAGTCTGCGATGCTCCAGCCGAACATGAGGTTGCACTGATGGGTGGCCAGAGAGCAAACGTGGAGGTCAGGGCGCCTGCGGGGGAGCCCTCCCCATCCATCCGAGCTGGACTCCTCCCCAGCAGGCAGTGCTCACCCCACTGGCATAACCTGTGAGCAGCACCAGGAGCGCGACCAGGAGCCCCAGAGCCTTGTCCCAGCCTTTCCGCAGCGTCTCTGTGATGAGGCGCATCCTGGAATGCAACTGGAGGAGCTTCCACAGCTTGACGGTTGCCAGGGCGATCAGGAAGGCAATCAGGTACGTCAGAGCCGAGTCCACCTCCACGGTCTCTTGGAAGCTGATGAACCTGTTCAGGGGAAGGGGCTGCTAGGGGCTCTTCTGCTGCCGTGGGCCTGGGCGCAGCACTCGGGCCAGCCGCTGTGTCCCGAGGCTCAAACCTGGGCACAGCCAAGGGGGGCAGCCACGGAGGCCACGGCTCACCGGGTGCGGTCCTGGCGGTGCCGCCTCAGGAGGCCGTGTGCCAGAAGACTTCGCTTCACGTGGAGGCCAACCGCAGCCACGCTGATGAGGGTGACGCTGGCATCCAGCAGGCTCCCCTTGCTGCCGAAGTACCTCAGCTTCTGCCGCTTCACCTGCCGGCCCTGCAAGCCATGAGGCCCCCTAAGTGCTCCGTGAGGAGGCTCATGTTCAGATGCGAAGGAAGGCGTGGTGGCTCCGAGGAGGCCGCCTAGGCCAGCAGGAGCCTTCTCTGCTGCCACAAAACTGCCGTGGACTCCACCCCCCCCCCGCCATTGCTCAGCACAGGGCGCAATTTGTGCCACCTCCAGTCCAGCGGCCACGTCTTGTGGCGTGTGCTCCACCCTCACCTGCACCACAATGTAGTACAAGACAAAGAGGAGGAACGTGGTGTGGGCACAGGCCAACTGGACGAGGCCATCGCTGCTGGGATAAAGACGGAGTATCTGCAGCTCTGCTGTGCTGAGAAGAGCCCCTGCCGAGAGAAGCGGGGCCAATGAATGGAAAGGAAGGGGGTGGCAGTTTGGGGTGCAAGGTGTGCATCTCCCCCCCCCCACCTCAAGCAGCTGCCAGTCAGCCCCCACCTTCCCCACCATCTGGTCTAATCCGAGGCCTATGGTGGCCTCGTAGCGAAGGGCTGCCTCCGCCATCCCCCCAGTCCATCTTGCCTAGGCCATCGGTTTCTAGAATCAGGGTGATGACACAGAAGAGGTTGACGTTGGCGTTGTAGACGACAAACTCCACAAACACAGCTCGTGTGCTCCCATCTAGCCAGTGATTTTGCTCCAGATATTGCAGGACACTGGAAGAAAAGGTGCACTCAGCTCGTGCTTGGCTGGGACTGCTCTCCTGGCAGCTGGTCGCCCACATCTGACAATGAGGCTTCTGGGAGCAAGAGCCAACACCCTGCTGGCTGTGAGCAGGCTGCTGTGCAGGCCTGCCTTCTCGAGTTTGTTAGATCATCTCCATCCAAAGTTCTGGCCCTGCCTCAAACCTCCTGACACTGATCTCAGCTTGCAAAGTGTGAAAGGACTTCCAAAGCACTGCTTTCTCCCCTCTTGCCAACTTGGAGTCTGTGTCAGACCAAGTAACTGAATTCAGCCGAGAGGCAATGGCCACGTTCGCTCAGCAGAATGGAGAATGAAGCCATGGATGAACCCTGCTAGAAGTGCCGGACAAACCCCACCAAATCTGACCCAGTCCGGGGGCTAGTCTCAGGACCTTGGCAAGAGACTTTCTGTTGCTTGAGCAAGCTTCTCGGAGCAGAGAGAGAGCTGACAGATGAGATTGGCAAAGAATGCTTCAGGGTGTGCTGCCTCCAGGTCAGGAAGAGAAGCGAAACAAGCACAATGGCAGCCCAGGCTTGCTCAGAGAGGGAGCACGGGAATGTCCCACACGCAGGAGTCAGACACCGCTTGGGAGTGTGGCTTCCGCGTTCCTCAGTCCTGCGCCCACACTGCTCCCTTTAATAGCTTTGCCAGGCTAGAAACGGCAGGTTACCTTGTGGCTCGGCAGGGCCCATTGATGGGTGACTGAGATACGGGGGCCCACCTGTCCAGAAAGAGCAGCAGAAGCCTTTAAGGCCAGCTGTCTCTTCACCTGGCCACACCTGTGGCCCTCTTGGTCCATGTACCTGTTTGCATGGCTCGTGTTTGTGCCAAGGTCCGCTAGGTAACCGCTTCCGGGATAGAGAGCAAGCTTCCCCCAGATGGGGCGTTCTTTCAGGGCGCTCTCACTCTGATGCTCCCAAGGACTGTCCCCTGTTCTCCTGTCAGTGCCAGGAGATCCCCAGCGGGGAGCTGGACCGGCCACTTCCTCCAGTGAGCCCATGAGGTGCTTCTGTTGAAGCGCGAGCACAGCTGGCACTGGCTTCCATGGGGTTCCCCTGGCCCGGATCTGCCGTAGTCTCACGCTGCCCACCAGGAAAGAGTTTCCGTCCATGGCCAGTCCTGGCAAGGTGAGAAGAGAGGCTGTGCTGCTTTGCGGTGCAGAGAAAAGCCCTTTTGCGAAGTGAAGGGCCACGGGGGGGGGGGGGGGGGCGGATCCCTCACCTATCCCCGCAGAGCACACAGCAGCAGTGGCAGCCCTCACCCTGAGCATCGCTGTAGACACCGGGCAGCAGAGACTGCCTGGCCCAGCTGTAGAGCTGCTCCTGAGTGCGGACGTCCTTCAGCTTCGTGGCAAAGACCTTCCGGAGGGCATTGTTCAGACAGAACTCGTGGGGACCCCTCTCCCGGTAGCCAAGAACCATCAGCACAGCCAGGAACAGGAGCTGCACTGGGCCAGCAGAGGAAGAGGGGGCCGGGAGTAAGGGGTCTGTCTGATGGTGCTCTGTGGGGAAACTGGCAGGCAGGAGGGCCGAAGAGGCTGCTGATGGCTGGGCGGGGGGCACCCCGGAGAGGTGCAGCCAAATGCTGGGGCTGCCAAGGCGTGGCCCTACTGGCCAGGCCAGCCAAGGATGAAGGCAGGCCAGGGGGCGGCCCGAGGCCCAGCGAGCAGCCCCGGCGGTCCCTTGCAAAGCCAGCCTGGCCCTCCCCACACGCAGCTGCCGTCCTCTGGGACCCCACGGCCCGTCTGGTCCCGGCACTGAATGGTGATGCTGTCCAGGCCCCGTGCCCGCCCGTGCTGCCCCACTCAACGCGCATTCCCTCTGGGCCGCCCTCCTCACTCTGGGAACAGCACCATTGCCGGACCCGGTGAAAGTCACCACCCTGCCTCACCGGCACCTGGCCGGTCACTGCTCACCCACAATCTCCCGGAGCAGGAAGCACAGCTTCTCCTCCTGCTGGGCGCGCTCCTTCCACGGTGCACTGGGAGTCAGGGCCGGGGGCCTGTACAGGGGGCTGGAGCAGTCCCTCGAGCAAGGAGGTGCCCGGCCAGGGGCCCTCTCTGGGGGAGAAGAAGAGGGGCGCTAGACCCTTCTCTTGCACAGGGGAGACCGCAGCCGTGCGGCAGGAAGGGGCAGGTGTGAGACATCTATTACCCAGGAGGAGGCCCAGCTGCCGCTGCAGCTGCTGCTCCTGCCCTCCGTCTTGCCATGGCTCCCTCCTGCGAAGCAGCGCAGAAAGCGTCGTCAGGGCCAGCACCTGCGGGAGGAGAACCGCCGTGGGCCCAGGCCGTGTGACTTTGCTGTGCTGGCGGGAGGGGTGGCCGCCCAGGGGGGCTTGGCCAGGGCGGCTGTGGGGCCAGGAATGCTGCTCACCTTCAGCGGCTGCAGGAGCAGGATGTTCTGCAGGACCGACAGCAGCGTGGTGATGGCCCAGCGGGCGGCCTGCTCCTTGTCCATCTGGAGGCTGTACAGCCCCGTGAAGAAGGCTGTGGCCAGGCAGGTAGCCCCCAGGACCCCCCAGGAGACGAGGCCCCTCCGGCTGGGGCAGCGGTGTGAGGGGCGCGCTGGTTCCACCGCTGCGCCTTGGCCCGGGGTGCCGCTGGTCTGGGACCGAGGCCTGGCAAGGCAGGCTGTGTCGCGTCTCCGCAGGCAGCTCCTGGCAGAGGGGAGAGGAGGGCAGCGCCCAGCCTGCCTGACCCGCTCGCCGCAGCCTCCTCTAGGCCGGGGTGCCTCTGTGCCGCCTGTTCCCAGCCCAAGGGGCTTCAGGCAGGCATGGAGCCCAGTCTGAGCTGCGGACTGGGTGGCACGGCTGTCTCTGCTCCCCAGCTGCAGGCTGCCCACCCGGGCCGGAGCAGCCTGGGTACAGCCCCTTTTGCCCAGCCCGGGGGAGAATCCAGACAGGGCCTGAGGCCGTTTGCCACTCCCCCATCTGCTCCCCCTCTGTGCCTCCAGCGCTATTTGAATGGGAGAAGCTGCAGGCACCCAGTGGTGTCCGCAGCCCCAAGGGAAGGGCTGCAACGGAGTGGGGGAGTGGGGGGTAGCCCTGGACTCTAGGGCTTACAGGCCCTTTTCCCCGAAGCAGCTCGGTGGTCAAGCAGGCGCCTGGGGGCTGAGCGCCGTCTCCGAGTACCTGGGCTCCGCTCCGCAGGGCCAGGCTTGGTGCTGCTGCGCCAGGCGCTGCCAGAGTTGGCGCAGTTGCCCAGCAGCATGCAGGCAGTCGTAGGGGTCAGGCTGGCTGCTCCCGCCGAGAGTGCGGAGCTGCGCCTCCAGGTCGTTCACCACGTGGCAGAGATAGTGGAGGAGATGGCAGGATCCCTCTGGGGAAAGTCGCCGGCGGGTGTCGGTCTCATTCTTCTGGGACCTTCCCAGGCTCAGCTCCAGAAACCCGTGGGCTGCTGGACTGAGGTTCCATGGGTGGAGGGAAACAGCAAGTGACAGGCCCCGTTTACCTGGAGGGGGAACTTCCGAGTCCTCCAGATGCTGGAGATGGGAGTGGATGAGGCCACACAGGCCAGACACGAGCTCTGGCAGGCGTGTCGGAGTTCCGGGGAACCCACTCATGTCCCTGCACCGGCACAGCGGGTTCTTGTAGAGGAAGCCCAGTGTCTCAGTCAGCTCCTGCCAAGGAAGGAGGGAAGGAGCCAGACGAGCACCTGGCAAAGCAGCAGCTCCTGGAGGAGGAGGCTGTCCAGGCGGAGGCTGTCCAGGCTGTCCATGTTGCTCGGCTGCAGGCTTTGTCTGCAGGCACGGGGGGGGGGGGGGGGGCTGCAGGCCCACTGGGAGGGCCCTAAGCTGGAGAGTGGAGTGGGGTGGTCTGAAGGCAGTGCTAAAGCGAGGCAAGCTGGATGGGAGACATTTGTGACTTGCGTGAATTTGGAGCCAGGCTTGAGGCGAGGAGAACGTTGCCCAGGGGGCGGTGTGGGAAGAGCCGAGGCAGCGGCTGTGCCCCGACCTTTCCTCAAGTGCTGGGCCCACTGTCGCCACAGAGGGGCCGGCCGTGCCTGCCGGCAGTGCAGAGCCTGGGCTGCAGATCCTGCCCTGCCCTGCCCTGCCCGCCACCCCACACTCCCACAGGCCAAGCGGCAACGCACGCTGCCTCTGGGGACTCACCTGCTTGAGGTGGGCGAGGAGGGGGGTCTGCCTGGGGGGCACCACGGGCTGGGCGTCGTGGGTTCTCCTGGGAGGCGGCCCCGAGTCCGGGAGCTGGCCCAGCTGGAAGAGGCGGGTGATCAGCAGGTGCACGGGGAGGAGGAGGACGGCCGCTTCTGCGCTCACCACCAGCTGCTGCCAGGTCACTGCGAATGGCCCTGCTGGGGAGACCGCAGGTACTTCGGCCCGAGGGACGGGGGCAGGCGCAGGGGCGGGACGCCCGAGAAATGGCAGTTGCGACAGGGCCAGCCCGGGTTCCAGACTCCTGGTGACCCTCTTGCGTTGGGGAGCTGAGCCCACGTAAATACCCGCCTCCTTGCCTGCAGGCAGAGGTGCTATCGGAGACGGGCGAACTGGAGCCCAGGAGGCGGGCGGGAGGCACTCTGGGGTGAGCGTCTCCTTGGGCTCTGCTTTGGGGACTGGGGCAGCCCCTGCCCTGGCCTCCCCAGGTCCCCACCTCCATGGGAGGCGACACACAAATGAGCGGTGCTACGTGGGCTCCGGCCACCGCCAACTCCTCCTCCTCCTCACCTGGCTTGGGGCGGGACCCATCCTCTGGTGGTTCTTTCCAGAACATGATGCTGGTGAGCATGGAGCACAGCAGGAGGGCGAAGCAGCAAGAGAGCCGCTGTGCGCGGGTGAAGGGGCTCCAGGGTGAGCAGCTCCCCACGGACAGCCAGAGGTGCTCCTGCGTCAACTTCCCCACCAGCCCTTCCCAGAACAGGTGCCTGTGGGTGAGGGAGGGCGGGCGGGCGGGCACGTTGGAAAGGGGCGGCCATGCCTTGTCCTGATGCACGGGTGGAGCAGCTCCCCAGCTGGACCTCCCCTCCAAACGGAGTGGGGCTGGGCCTGTGTCTGCCTGCAAGCCGGAGCGCCTGGCTGCTCGTCACGCTCCCAGCTCAGGCAGCAGCCAGGATGGGTCCTGGGGTCCCTGGACAGGGCCTGCCTTGCTTGCAGAAGGTCCTTGCCAGAAGCCCTGTGGGGAGAGCTGCTACTGCCCACCCAGGCCGACAGGCCGGGCCCGATGGACCAAAGGCCCAGCCAGGAGGCCTGGCTGGTGCTGCTGTGGCAGGCCTTTCGGGTGCGGGCAGAGGCACTCTCCCTTCCCTCCAGGGGTTGCAAGCATGCTGGAGTCACTCTGGAGAAGAGCCGGGCCTGCAGCCCGACCCCTCCTGCCCGTCTCATCCATGCTCAGCGCTCCCCGGCTCAAGAGAAGCACTGCTGCCTGCTCCATCCTCCATTCAGGCAGCACCATTGGGCCGTGGGCCCCAGGCCAGGGCAGTGGGCGGTGCGCCTGGGAAGCTCCATCCCACCAGAAGACCTCCCCACTCACCTAAAGGACAGCAGCTCCCTCTCCGAAGCAGCCACAAACACCCCGTCCAGCTGCCCGTCGCCCAGCTCAACAGCCAGCCAGCGCCCAGCGAGGAAATGCCACTTCTTCCCGGCTTGAAGGTCGCTGATAACGAGCCGGCGCACAAACCTGCATGTGGCCCAAGTCAGACCCGGCCCCGCCATGTCGCACACTGCAGCAGCCGCAGCCCCGGGAGCCCCTTGCAGGTCTGCAGCCTCCGGCAGCCGCTCTCCCCATGTCCTGAGCTGTCAGCGCAGGCGACTGGGAAGCTCAGATGCGCCATCCGACAGCACGGCCAGCCAGGGGCTGCGCCGCCCACATGCCCTCCCCAGGCCTCTGCCACCCCGGAGGCCTCCTGCCTGTGGGGGCTCTGCCCCAGTGGGCCCCCCAGCCCCTGGCCCCAAAACCCAGCAGAACCGTGGACATACCAGCTGGGGCTGGGCCCCGTGTTGCTGTGCCAGAGCCGGACGGCATGCAGCTCCCCCAGGGGCGTCCACGTGGCCAAGAGGAAGGCATCCATCCCGCCCCTCTCCAGGCAGGGGGGCTCTGGGTGCCGCAGCAGGTGGGCTTCACTGCGGCCCTCCGCCCCGTAGATGGTCAGGGTGACCTTCAGCCAGGGCGGGGCAGCAGTCAGGGGAGCGCCGGGAGGGGAGGGGCCTCCCAGGCCATGCCCCCCCGCTCCTTCCTTGCCAGGAGGAGGAGCCCCCCCCCCCCCGCAGTCAGGCAAATCCCACGGGCTGCTCTGCTCGGGGCTGCGAGGCCCAGCCTCGTTCAGCCTGAGGTCTGAGGGAGGCCAGCAGGGCTGGCTGGGGCGTGCTCCCCTACCTTCGCAGACGTGCCCGCCCCTCGACGGTGGCCTGTGAACACCTGGACCAGGTAGAGGTAGCTGGCCCCGGCTGCGTTATCCGCCAGGGCGGTGACCTTCACCTGGGGCAGGAGAGCAGCAGGGCTGAGGCACGGCCCTGGGACTCCGCAGGGCCGGCCGCTCCAAGGCCGCCTTCCCCACTCACCTGGAGAAACGCTGCAGCAGCCTCTGCGCCCCCCGACCTCGTTCCGGGATGCGGCGCATGGGAGGAGCCCAGTGGGTGTTCCCCCAGCCGGATATGCGGTGGCCCCGCTGCGGGCCCAGGGCAGAGCCACGCGTGTCCCACCGCCCCGGCTCACCTTCCCCGCATCGGCCTTCTGTCTCTGGCGGACCCAAAGGAGGGCCACTCCGTAGCCCAGCAGAAGGCTGCCGAGCAGGGCCACCCCCGCCGGGTTCTGGCCCACCCTGCGGAGGAGCTGGCCCGTGCACTGCAGGCAGATCCGGTGCGGCAGGACCAGCACGACACGGCCGAAGAAGGAGAGGTGGCTGCAGAGGCACTGGATGCTGCCCGGCGTGCTGCGGGGGCCGACCTGGGGAGAGGGACCTGTTTCTGCCACCCAGAGAGAGCTGGCAGGCCCCGGGGGGGCTCCCCCATGCCCCCTGCCCGCCCCCTGGCTCGGCGTACCCGACAGCCGTTGCTTCTCCAGGCCCGCGGGCGGACGGCCCAGTAGTAGCATCCGGCGCTGACGAGGCTGCTGGAGAGGTTCCAGGAGCTCCGCGGGGGATGGGCCACCTCTGCAGAAATGTGGAACGTGCCCACGCCATGGCGCAGCTCCTCCGCGGGGATGACCCAGACATAGGCACCCTCTGGAACGGGAGCGAGCGTGGGCAGGAGGGGGAGCGGCGCCCCCAGGTGGGACCCCCCGTGCTCTGTCCTCGCCCTCCCCGCACGGCTCCGGAAACCGTCCCCTCCCCTCTGTATCCCCCCTGGGCCAAGGATGACCCCAACGGCCCGTCAGTGGGGCCTCGAAGCGCCCAGTGTCCCCCCGAACTCACCCTCTTGCCGTGGCCCCCTGGGCAGGGTTGTGTTGAGCAGGGCCGCTGGCCCATCGCCCAGGCGCAGGAGGAGCTGCACGGGGACGCTGGGCCTCATGGAGAGCAGCAGGGCCTGCCCCGTCCCCATCGACGGCACCTCCGCCTCCAGGCTGAAGTGCGTGGCGCCCCCAGACAGGTGGGCGGGTTCTCCGGCCTCACCACCCAGCCGGACCTGGAAGCAGGTGCAGCACTTCAACCGGGCACAGCTCACTGTTCCCCACCCCCATGTGCATGGCGACCCTTTGCCCTACTCGCCCCACAAGCAGCACTCCCCCCGCCACTCTGGAGTCCCGCACTGAGCGGCAGAGATGGCCAGCCTGGCGTGGTGTCCTGCCTCTGGGGCTGCGCCGTCCTGGCCAAGCAGCGCCAGGTGCTGGCCGGGCAGGCGGGGTCCTCGCCGTGTTTGCTGCCCGGCTTTGGAGGAGGGTTGGGATTGGCTGGCAGGGAGCAGGAGGGGGCCGTGCTTGAGCACCCCCTTGCCGGACTTGCGGGGCGAGGGCGCCACTCCCACCTCGATCTCCTCTGCCAGGCCCTGGATCCGGAGGGGCTCCCTGCTGGCGACCAATGAGACGCTCGCCACACTCCCCACCGCCGTCCCGTCCAGGTGCCTGAACGGGTTGAGCGCAAAGGAGGCCACCTGGGCACAGAAAGAGCAGCTGTGGGCGCTGGCCCAGCCCCACGGGCCACAGTCGCCCCAGCCACAGGGCTGCCTCGGGCCGGGCCGCGGTGAGGGCTAACACTCACCTGGACTTGCAGGTGGCGGTGCGGCCGCAGGAGGGGCACCAGAGTGGTGACGGACGGGAACGTGACCCTCACGGGCCACGGCCGCGGCAGGTGAAAGGAGCGGCCAGGCAGGGAGGCAGCTGGGCAGCTGTGAGCACGGGAGGACAGCTATTCGGGCCGGCCAGGTGGCCGGTGGCCCAGCCCCCTCCTCCTCCCCAGGGCTGCGTGGGGTACGGGAGAGGGGCAGCTGGCACCTGCTGACGGTGGTGCTGAGCACGGGGGAGTCCGCGGCTGCAGAGGGGCGGCCCAGCAGCAGGCCGGTCTGGATCAGAGGCAGGGCCCCCAGCGCCGCTTCCAGGGCGCCTTCTCCCTGAAAAAGGCCACCAGGTGTGGGGAGAGCTGCCACGGGCAGGCAGAGCCCGAGCATGCGCCCGGCAGCTCTTGCCCGGCCCCAGGACTCGGCGGCCACCCAGAGGCAGGCAGGGCGCCTCCCCACACCGCCAACAAGGATGTGGGGCAGGAAGGACTGCCGCAGCCCAGCGCAGAAGCGGCCAGCCCCCCCGCCGCCCGCCCAAGCTGCCAGAGGGGGAGGGGGCCCCCAGCGCACACACCTGCCACTGGCCCTGGCTGCCGTCCCTGGGCTCAAGGAGGTTTCCCAGGGCCTGGAAGAGGGCCTCGGCGGCCGCAGAGGGGTCCAGCCCGGAGATGTTGCTGGGAGCAGGGGGCTCCTTCGGCAGCTGTGAGCTCAGGCGCAGGAGGGCCTGAGCGGCGAGGGCCTGTGGGCAAGGGGTGCGGCTGGGTGGGTGTGCGGGGCAGGGGCCTGGGTCCCTGAGGGCAGCCTGGCACCACCTGGCAGCCGCTGGCTGGGAGCAGGCCAGAGGTGGCTCCAGGGACCCGCCAGCCCTGCCCTCCCCGCTGCCCAGAATGCCCGGACCTGGGCTGCACTTGAGAGCCGGGCTGGAGCGCTCGTCACTCGCTGCAGGTCCCGGGCTGCCCTCTCGAGCGCCAGCCGCCAGCCCGCTGACGGCCCCACAGCCCGGCCGAACCGGTCCAGCAGCTCCTCCAGCGCCTGTCAAGGAAGGGCAGTGGGGAAGAGGAAGCCCCCCAAGCAGAAGCCCGGCCCGGGGAGCCCAGCAGCGCCTTCCTCTCACACAGGAGGCGGCAAAAAGGGCCCCAGCCGGGCGGGAGCGCCCAGCCCCCACCTGCCCAGAGCCGCCCCCGCGCCTTCCGGATGGGGCAACCTGCCCCCGAGCCGCTGTCGCCTCCTCTCTGGTGGCCGCCAGCACGCGGGGTGGGGGGCGCAAGCCCAGCTGGCTGCAAGGGGCCCGCTCCCACCTCCTTCCCGGCTGTGCAGCACGGCCCCTTCCCTCCGCGGACACGCTGCACGCGGGCGGCACACTGCCGCTGGGAGGGCCGCCAGGAGAGCTGGCCGCCGTGAGCGCGGAAGCCCCCCACCTGCGCGGCAGCGCCTGCAGGCTCCTCAGCGAAGGCCCCCGGGGCGGGGGCTGGTGGGTGGCTGCCTGCGCTGCCCAGGGTGGCCTCCCCGGCAGGAGGAAGCCCGGGGGCCAGCGCTTCCGAGCCGAGAGCTGCCTGGCCCTGGAGACCGGCGGCCGGTTGCGCCTTGCCCAGAGGGCTCGTGCCACATGCTGGACGGGGAGTGTTCGCTGGAGTCGGGGCAGCGGTCACTGGGGGGGTGGGATGCCGCCGGGAGCTGCCGGTGCCTGGCGGGGCGCTGGGTTGAGGCCGGGCCGGGCCAGGCCACGGGAGGCCCTGCAAGATGTGCGCGTCCTCTCTGGGGGTGCTGGTCGCTGCCGTGCCTCTTGGCCTCCTGCTGCACGCGAACCATGGGCAGGCCGGCGGCTGGGAAAGAGGCCACGGCGAGGGTCACCGGCCTGGCTCTGCCGCCACACTGCTGCTCCTGTCCCCCAGAGCAGCCACAGCGGCCAGGGATGGCGGAGGCCGGGCAGGGCCCCTGGCACGCTTGCGACTCACCTGCCGGGGAGTGGAGAGATCCCGGTATGCACGGCGGAGGCCTGCGGCAACAGCAGCAGAGAGCAAAGGCAGGGGAGAGGGTGAACTCAGAGGCCCCTGGGCTCCTTGGAAGAACCCGCCTCTGCCCACCCAGCCTCCACAGGGCGAAGCACACGCCTCGAGGGGGGGCGCCTCCCCTTCATGCGGGCTGCCGGCTTGCCCCTTCAAGCAGAGGCCCTCTGCTGCACATGGCTGGTCCCGAGGCTCGCCAGACCTTCCCGATGTGTTTGCAGGTGGAGGAAGAGAGTGGCGCCCCACAGGTGCTGCTGGAACACGAGGATTCGGGGGGGGGGCACTCACCGGACTGGCAGATGAAGAAGAGCTGCTCCACACAAGCCTCCCTCCCGGCCCAGAACTGGCCCCCAACGCGGATGATGCTGGCACAGCCCGCAAAGGGCCCTGCAGGAAGGACGGAAACCGCCACTGTCCCCAGTTGCTGGGCTCAGTTTCCTTTTCCTGGAAAAGCCCCATGCCTCACTGGGGTCTCCCCTCTCTGGGAGAGACCATGGGATCCTCCTGCCAAAGCCCCTCCGCAGGCCACAAAGGCCCCTCAGAGGCCCTTGTGAGGCAGCTGGCAGCCGACAGTCAGGCGATGCTCAGAGACGCTTCTGCCCCCACTGCGCAAGCGGCGGCAGCAGCAACCCCGGAGGAGGGGTGGCATCCTGGGCCCGTGCACGCTCCTGGAGGGCGTGAGAGGAGAGCCACTTCCTAGGCCCCCAGGACCCTTGACCCGCTGCTGGCAGCCCTGGCATGGGCAGAGCCTCCCCCTCACCCTGGCTGAGGTCCCGGCGGCCAGACAGCGACCGCCGCTTCCCCTGGCGGGCCATTTCCAGCCAGCCGCTGACCCAGCTCTTGCCCTCTTCGTCCAGCTGGCTCCGCAGGGCCCCCCGGGTATGCCGGCCCCAGGAGCGGAACAGCTGGGCCTGGCGTGCCAAGCACCAGGACCGCGCAGCCGGGAAGGACAGCGGCAGCTGGAACAGCTTGTGGCAGGCCTCCTTGCCCGCGGGGGGGCAGGAGGGCTCCAGGGCAGCCAGTGTGCTGCGCACAAACACCCCGCCCCAGAGCCAGAGCCCGAGCCAGAGCCAGGGCCACATGCTGGGGTCCCCGCCTGTGCAGACGGCCCGGCCTGGCCCGGCATAAGAGGCCTCGCTCCCTGGGCAAGCCCCACCTTGCCTCCCCAGCGCGGAGGGCAGAGGAGGAGCCTCCCCCCCCCGGTTTCGGTCCGGGCAAGGCCGCGCCCAGGGCCGGACAGGTGCGCCAGGTGCAGTGCCAGCTGGGGGCTGTTTGTACAGGGAGGGGACAGATGGGAAGGGCAGAAAGCAGCATTGTCCTCCTGACCAACAAAGGCACCTGCCTGAGCTCAGGTTGGCAGCAGCCACTTCCTCCATGAGGGGGGACGGGGGGGGGCAGGGCCTGAAGCAGCGTGTGGGGCAGGCAAGGAAGGAGCCCAGGCCCGGCCCTTGAGGGCACTTTCCTTGCCTGACAGGGAGGAGGTGGGGGGAGGCCTCCATAGTGTCTGGTACAGAAAAGCAGCCACTTGTCTCCTTTCGTAACACGTGCCCCCAGCAGGGCCGTCCCACGGAGCGGCTGGGCGCGAGGCACACTCAGCTCCAGCTCGGCTCTGGCATTCGCTTCTGCGAGATACAGCGGCCACCACCATTCCTGGAGGAGCAGGCTAGCCACGCCTGCTAGTCCTCACGGCTCGGAGCGACCTCCACGGGCAGAGGCAGGCGCCTCTGTGGCCGGGCCGGGGGAAGGCTGCCAGGAGGATGCTGCTGCGCTCAGGCCCTGCTTGCAGGTTTCCCGCGCGAAGCTGTCTGGATGAGCCGCACAGTCCGCGCGGCAGACGCCCCCGTGGCCTGATCCAGCCCTGGCACAGCTCCGCCCAGCCCCGCCGCGCACCGGGCCCAAGGGCTCTGCCCGCCCACGGGCGGCGGCAGGGAGCGCTCGCGGCGGCGCGCGCGCGCGCGGGCCTTGCCGCGCACTTCCGGCGCTGCGCCGGAAGTGGCCGTGCGCTCCCTCGCCATGGCCGGCGCGTTGCTGTGGGTAAGGCGGGCTCCGCCGGGTGGCCGGGCCAGGGCGCCGCGGGACCTCCGGAGGGCGCTCCCGGCGTAGACCGGCCTCCCGCCCGCAGTCTGGTCGCCCGGGCGGAGGTGCTCCGAGGACTGAGCGGCCGCTCGCAGCCCGCTCCTGCCCGCCCGCGGGCCATTTCGGCGGCGAGGCGTCTGGGGCGAGCGCCGCGGGCAGGTGGGAGCAGCAGCCGCGGCGCCGCTGCGGGCGGGCGGGCGGCTTTCGGAGCGCGGGGATTCCTGCCTGGGTCGCGGAGACGGGCGTGCGGCTGTGGAAGCGCCTTTTCGCGCAGGACTCAGGGGCGCGCGTGTCTCTTTCTCCCCCAGCGTCGCCTCAGAGAGGCGACCGTGGTCCTGGGCAGCGGCAGCCTGATCTTCGCCTCATGCCTGGTGGCCAAGGGAGACGAGAGCTTCTATGCTAAGTGCCTGATGCCTGTCCTGCAACGTCTGGTGGGCCCAGAGACTGCCCACACGCTGGCGGTGCGTTTTGTCGCACTGGGGCTCCTGCCACGTTGCAGCCAGGCTGACTCCGAGGCCTTGGTGAGTAAAAGCTGGGGATGGAGGCCTGGGGCACTAGCCTGAGTTTGAGTCATCAGGGTAGAGCGCCTTCCGGTGGGCTCCTCTGTGCCTAATTTGTGCATTCCTTCTCAGCACTGGGTAGGATGGAATCTTGCCTGTCCTTTCTGGTGCTGTGTTGATTTTTCTCTGTGTTGGCGATGAGGTACTTACCAGATTTTTTCTAAGGAAGTGGAAGTCTTTGGGCGCCGATTCCAGAACCCGCTGGGCTTGGCTGCTGGCTTTGACAAACATGGAGAGGCTGTGGATGGTCTCTTCAAGATGGGCTTTGGCTTTGTGGAGGTGGGGAGTGTCACCCCTGAGCCCCAGGAGGGGAATCCCAGACCCCGGGTCTTCCGACTGCCAGAGGACCAGGCTATCATTAACAGGTGGGAAGCCAGGGCTAGGAGCAGAGAGTGGGGTGGGAGCTTTTTGGTAGCCTTTTTTGCAATGGAGGTAGAAGAAGGGATAGAGAAGAAGAAATTAAGACCTGCAGAGGGGTGTGCATTTCCACATTGATTGGTGCTTTTCTACCAACATACAGGTATGGCTTCAACAGTCATGGACATATGGCAGTGGAACAGAGGCTTCGGGCCCGAAAAGAAGCTCAACGCCTGCTAAGTGAAGGTGAGGTGTGTTGTGTTCCCCCCACTATTAAGTCATGGGGATCCCTGCCCCCTCCTGGGGCCTGCCATTTTTGTGGTAGTTGCTGGGGGCAATCACATGTTGCTGTCCTCTCCTCGTCTGCACTGAGACTTTTCAGGAGCCTGGGCATCTGAGAGTAGACTTTCTGGCAAGGAGAGGCCTGGGGCACAGGTCCCAGCCAGCTGCTTGGGGCCAAGGGAGACCTGTTAGAGCCTACCCGGATCTCTTATCTGGGCATCCACAGCATCACTGACAATACCAAACTGAATGCTACATGACTCCCACTGTAGTGTTAGGCCTGCCTTTCAGCTGTCCCTGGGAGGCCTCGGTGTGGCTCCACAGGGCCCCGCTCCACTCAGCCAGCCTTTCTGAGCTGTTGCCACGTGTGTGTGTCTTCCTAGCGGGCAGGCCTCTTGGAATCAACTTGGGCAAGAACAAAGCCTCTGGGGATGCCACAGCCGACTATGTGGCTGGAGTGCGGGTGCTGGGCCCCCTGGCCGATTACGTGGTGGTGAACGTGTCCAGTCCCAACACGCTGGGGCTGCGGACCTTGCAAGGCAAAGCGGAGCTGCGACTCCTGCTGGCCAAGGTGGGTATCTTGCTCTGGGAATCCGCCTGAGCTCCTGGTCGTCCTCCCGGCTGTTGGGCGGGCAGCAGCCGCCCAGCTTCTACGCTCCCATCTGCACGCCCTCACCCCCCAGCTCTTGGTGCCAACTCCATGGGCCAAGAGCAGGCCTTTCTTTGCTTTGGTCTAATCTTCGTGAAGCGCAAGTGCTCGCAGGCAGCTGGGTTGTGGTGTAGTGCCAGCAAAGCAAGCCTGCTGCTGCTGGGTGTGTTGTGGGCCCACCTCCATGCTGGCGTGGCTTTCTCTTCGGTCTGCCTAGAAGGCCTGTGTGGCGGCCGCAGTGGCAGACCCGCTGGAGGTTGCTCCTGCCCGGGCTTCCACACCTGCTCTGTGGAAACCTTCCCCGCCGGGTGCTTCGGGGGCAGCCTGAGGCGCGTGCCCTTCTGCGCACTGCGAGTGTGGTCACAGCTGGATGCACCTTCCTTTCAGGTGCTCGCTGAGAGGGACGCCCTGGCGGTTGAGCGCAAGCCAGCTGTGCTGGTGAAGATTGCGCCAGACCTTACGGCCCAAGACAAGCGGGACATTGCCAGTGTCGTGTGCGAGGTACTGAAGGGGGCGGCGGCCTCCCAGGCATGGCTGACTGAGTCGCTGGCCAGCACTGCTCATGGGGAGGGAGTGGCAGCAGGACAGTCACCTGGTCCCCACTGCAGTGGCAGTCTCCCCCACCGTTGCCCCCGCATTGCCAGCAGGGCTGAGCCGGGTCAGCCGACTTCTCCCAGGGCTCGGGGCAGGAAGGCCGGCTTGCTGGCTTGGGGGACGCTGTGGGGAGGCAGAGCCTGCACATGGCCTTCGTTGTAGCAGCGGCTCTGTTTTTCCAGCTAGGCGTGGATGGGCTGGTCATTGCCAACACAACTGTGAGCCGCCCCAGCACCCTCCGGGGGGCATTCCGGGGGGAAGTAGGGGGACTGAGTGGTGCTCCCCTTCGCCAGCTCTCTACGCAGACCGTCAGTGAGATGTACTCTCTTACCCAAGGTAATGGGGCGGCACCAGGGGGTGAGGGGGCGCAGCGGGTGGCGTTGCCGGGGCCCCTCCTGTGCATGGTCCCCTCTTGCCCCCAGGACGGATACCCATCATTGGCGTGGGTGGGGTCTGCAGCGGGAGAGATGCCTTGGAGAAGATCCGTGCGGGCGCCTCCTTGGTGCAGGTGTACACAGCCCTCACCTACGGTGGACCGCCCGTGGTGGGCGCGGTGAAGCGGGAGCTTGAACTGCTCTTGAGGTGAGTGGAGTGGCTGCGCAGCCTGGCTCTCATGCCAGCCGTGCTTTGCAAAGCTCGTGCCGGGGACAGAGCTCAGCAGAATGGGGCTAGCTGGAGAGAGTGCTGGGCAGGCCAGGGAACCCCTTGGGTCATGGGGAGGCCACTCTCCATCTTGGACCTTCCCACAGCCTTGTGCCAGGCTTCTGCTGGAGCTCGAGAAAGAGTCCCTCCCACTCCCTGCCCTTCATGTGCCACATTCGTTCTCAGGGCTGGCTGCCATTCCTGGTGTTCCTGCTTGTCTGGCCTGGTCCACGTTTCCTGATCAGGCAGAATCACGTGCTGCTTCAGCTTGTCATTCTGCCTTCTCTGTCCCAGAACCAGCCCTGATACAGGAGCCACAGTTCTGGGCAATCCCCACCACCTGCAATTGGCCACCTTGGCCTCCATTTCTCTGGGCAGTGGTCATCTGCTTAGTGGGTTTGGATGTCCTGCCATATGTTTGCCAGCTCCACCAAAACCAGCCCATAGTCTTTCCTGTCTGCCTGATCTTCCCCACCAAAACTGGCGATGGAGACCCTGGTTTTAATTTTATTCACCTATATGGCGAACTTTTCAGAGACCGAGTGCCAAAACTGCAACCCAAAAGCCACTTATTTATCCCAAAGCGCCAACACTACAATAAAACATGAAATCTGAGGTTTTAGTTTAGAAAGAGCAACACGTAGCCAGTCCAAACAAATATATATATCCTTGGCAGTGCACTGACCAGCCACGAGAAAGCTCGAACGAGTTGCATCTCATGAGTCATGGCTTCTGATGTCATTGCCTGGTGCCACTAATCCTTTCTAAACATGCGCATGGGCCCTGTCTACGCTGTTATCCGAGGCTCGGCTTCTGTGGCAATTCTGGGGTGACTTGGTTCACGTTCTGACACAGAGGGCTCTGTGTGTCCACTGTGGCACGCGAGCCGTGGGTTCACCACTGGCCTGACTGTACCCTGGTACACACTCCTAACCCTAATATAGGGGTAAAGTTCTATTGAAAAGAGGCTGATTTTGCAAAAGCCTTTTTGAGTAGGTATTTCTGCCCAGCTCAACGTTTCTGCCTATTCTAAACACGTTCCAACCATCAAAATTGTTCCAGGACACCTCGTTTTTCTAACCCTAACCCTACACTGGTGCACACCCCTAACCCTAATGGAAAGGTAAAGTCCCAGCGATAAGTGGGCGGTTTTAAAAAGCCTTCCTTGAGTAGGTTTCTCTGCCCAGATCACCATTTCTGCCCATACGAAACACGTTCTGACCATCAAAATCATATCAGGGCACCTCATTTTTCTAACCCTAACCCTACCCTGGTGCACACCCCTAACACTAACGTAGGAGTAAAGTTCCAGTGAAAAGAGGGCGATTTTGAAAAAGACTTCTTGCGTAGGTTTTTCTGCCCAGCTCACCATTTCTGCCCATTCTAAACACTTTCCGACCGTTAAAACCATTCCAGGACACCTCGTTTTTCTAACCCTAACCCTACACTGGTGCACACCCCTAACCCTAATGGAAGGGTAAAGTCCCAGCAATAAGTGAGCGATTTTGAAAAAGACTTCTTGCATAGGTTTTTCTGCCCAGCTCAACATTTCTGCCCATTCTAAACACGTTCTGACAGTCAGAATATTTCCCGGACACCTCATTTTTCTAACCTTAACCCTACCCTGCTGCACACCCCTAACCCTAATATAGGAGTAAAGTTCCAGGGGAAAGAGGACAATTTTGAAAAAGCCTTCTTGAGTAGCTTTTTCTGCACTGCTCAACATTTCTGCCCTTCTAAACACATTCCAACCATGAAAACCATGCCAGGACACCTCGTTTTTCTAACCCTAACCCTACCCTGGTGTACACCCCTAACCCTAATGGTGGGGTAAAGGTCCAGTGAAATGGGGGCGATTTTGCTAAAGCCTTCTTGAGTAGTTTTTTCTGCACTGCTCATCTTTTCTACCCATTCTAAGCACATTCCGAGCATCAAAATCGTACCAGGACACCTCCTTTTTCTAACCCTAACTCAGTGATGGCGAACCTTTTAGAGACCGAGTGCCCCAACTGCAACCCAAAACCCACTTATTTATCGCAAAGTGCCAACATTGCAATAAAACCTGAAAACTGAGGTTTAGTTTAGAAAAAACAACGCACAGCCAATCCAAGCGTTCCCTGGCAATGCCCTGACCAGCCATGCGAAAGCTCGGTCGAGTTGTATCTAATGAGTTGTGGCTTGTGTTGTCATTGCCTGGTGCCGCTACTCCTTTCCGAGCATGCGCACGGCCTCTATGCGTGCTGTTACCCGATGCTTGGCTGCTGGGGCGATGCTGGGGCGACTTGGCTCTTCTACCGACAGAGAGGGTTCTGTGTGCCCGCTGTGGCACACATGCCATAGGTTCACCACCACTGACCTAAACGGTGACACTCTTGTAAACAGATGTACAAAGCAAATTTGACTGGTTGTAGCTGGATCAAGCCCTCCTAGATTTCCTGCAATGAATTTTTGGGGCACAAATATCCTTCTTACCCGGAAGAGTTGGGAAAAAGGGCCGTGCCTGGCTCCCTTCGGTAGGTTGGGTGGTGTGCATGTGCATGGAGGGAAACTTGCATCCCCACAAACCGCAGGAGGAGTGACGGAGGGTCCAGGAAGTGGGGTGGGGGGTTAACATTGTTCAGTGGGAGGGTTCTACCACGGTGCTTTTTACTTTATACAGGGAGCAGGGTTTTCGAAATATTCGAGATGCCATAGGGGCGGACCACTGCTTCTGAGGACTCCTGGTGTGCACATGTTGTGATAGTGGAGACTCACAGGCGGAGATGTCGGCTCCCTGGACAGTCCGAGGGGCTCGGCAGCATCTGGTGTGTGCGTTGCTTGCAGTCCGGTGGGACGTTGCCCCCTCCTTTCACTTTGCCATCAAGCACGGGAGCATCTGCTCTGTCACCTGAGACCACTGCCCTGCTGGCTAGGCGGTGGGGAGGGAGGGCTTTGTCTTTCCCTTTGTCTTCCGGGAACTTTGTTGCCAAGGTCTCTGTGTTCCTGGCAGAGAATGAGCAAATATTGACAGCAGGTGTTGACATTATGCCACGTGGAGGTGGGTGTGGGAAATCCCATTCAGTGCTGTATATTGCTGGGCCAGGAGAAAAAAATCTGGCTTGCTGAGGACGAAGCCAATGTGTGAGCAAAGGGAAGCATTTGAGGAAAGGGTCACCCCGTCTGAGGCAGTGCCCGGACCCCACCTCATCCTTTGCTGGCTGCTCATCGCAATCATGGCAGGGGGTTCGTGGCACACATGCTAGCGAAGAACGGAGGGTGGGGTACGAGTTTTCAACCTGGCCTGGCACTGTGTGAGGATGCAGGGTGCTGACAGACCTGGCCAAAGCCACAATCACACCCACATTGCACATTAATCTAAAGAATAATGTGTTAAGAATGGCATGGAGGGAAAGGATGCTGTTCTGGCCAAGCCTTTCCTCTCATCCTGCTCTGTTGTTACTGCAGTCTAATGGGGGAACAAGCTCTGGGAGCAGGGTGGGTCAGAGGGCAGCCGCCGCCTCCCCAAAGGGACAGGCTCCCATTCGTGACTGTGGCACTGCCCCTCTGCCCCACCCACCACAGCATGCGGAAGACCGAAATCACCAGCCAGGTCCTTGCAGCGGATCATCGGAGGATTCATGGATGCCAAGAATAGCTTTCCATGGCAAGGCAAGCTACAGCTCCAGCACAATTGCATTGTCGGTGCCACGCTGATCAGTGACCAGTGGCTCTTGCCCACGGACATTACACCCACCCTGCGGCTTTTCTTGGGTGATGGACAGGCCACTGGTCCCGTGGAGCGCATCATCCTGCACCCTGGCTTCCCAGAGGAGGAGGACCTGGTGCTCTTGCGTCTTCAGCACAAGGTTTCCCATGGGGCGCTGTGATGCCTATCTGCCTCTCCCAGAGGAACTATGTCCACCCAGGACGTGTGGGCTTTATATCTGACCCTAATGTCTTATATACCCATCCAGAGCACCTGCGGTTCATGCAACTGCCAGTGGCGGACACAGGCAACTGCAGTGTATGCTGTGCTCCCTGCAGCACTCATTATGTTAAGCCACTGCTCAGCAACTGCCGCGTGGGCATGAGCGAGCTGCGGGAAGATACTTGCTATGGTGATGTAGGTGGGGCTTTTGTGGTGCAGGATCCCAGTGAGGACATCTGGTATGCTGCTGGCATTCTCAGTCACGACAAGACCTGTACTACTTCCCTGTAGGGAGTCCATGTGGATTTGGTAAAATTAGTGCAATGTATCAGAGGGATCATAAATTGGTACTGAGCCAACCCAGTTCATTTCCCTTTATTGGCTCTTCTGTCTCAGGTCTGCACTCTGGGCTAAATGACCAAGGCAATTGCAGTGAACTACCTACCGTGTCTGTCAAGCCAAAATCATGCTCTCTTTTTGTCATCTGGTCTTAACATGCATTGTCAACCCATTAAAAGTCTGTTCTCCTAGTGACTGGTGTACTTGAAGAATCAACTCTGTGTGTGGGTTAAAGTGGAGGCCAATGGCTCGTTGTATTTCATGCGAGCAATAAGAGTCAACGCATAACTGCTGCAAAGCTCTACGGTGACATTACACCTCACACTTGAGCAGTCCCTTCCTCTGGAGCAGCGCGTTCTCCCGAGTTGTGGGCACTCAAGTTTGCCTCCTCACGGTAAGCGGCGAGTAAAACGCGGGCGGCGGGCTCCGCGCTAGCCGGCCTCCTTCGCCTTCCTGCGAGGCCCGCGGCCCGCAGCAAAGGGCGGGCGCCGCTCCCGAGCCCGGGCGGCCCGGCTGGCGCTTCGCGGCGCCCGGCGTGGCCAGCGCAGGGGGCGCCCCCGCAGCGGCTCCCGCGCCGGCATCGGCGGAGCCGTCCCGAGCGAGCCAGGGGCGGCCCGCCCGCGCGCGCCGGGCTCGGCCGGAGCGCGGGGCCGGGGAACGTCGCCGGCCGGCGGCCAATTGGAAAGCCCCAGGCGCCATCGCGGTTCCCCGGAGGCATAGCAACCAGGAAGTCCCGCCTCCGCCCCAGGAAACGGTCGTTCCCGGAGTAGCGCTGTGCGAGCTATGGATGGCTACTCTACAGTTGACGGGGAGGCGCCGCGGCTGCCGGCGCGGGGCATTGTGGGGCGGGTAATGGCGGCGTCCGGCGCAGCTCGCAGGGCCGGGCCTTGAGGCGGCGGTCGAGGAGGCGGCGAGCGGCAGCGCCGCGCACGGTGAGCGCAGGGCCAGGCGCCGGCGAGGGGCTCGGTGGGCCGGCGGCCAGGCGGGCGGCCAGGCGTCCTCCGCGCAGCCCCCGCGACGGGCCTCGGCCCGGAGGGGAGCCGCTGGGGCGCCCGCCTTCCCGCCGCCACTCTCCGCGCGGGGCCGCTGCGAGGCCG